CAAACGTTGTGATAGGGATAGAGACATGCGATTTTTGGTTTTACGAAGGTAATACGATAGAGAATAATACAAAGTAATAAAAACCACCGGTTATAGGGGCATTTTTTGGAGAAATTTATCAAATAACCAAAAAAACACGAATTTTTTAGCAGATTTTTTTCAAAAAGTATCATTTTTTATTATTTGTTGGCCTTTTTTGTGTATTTTATGTATTTTTTTAGTATTGCCTGTTATTTAGCATTATTACTGTTTTTATTTTATCAGAATATACCGCTTAGTTCAAAAGTTATTACGTTTTATTTACAATAAGTAATTGGAAGAAAAAAAAATCGATAAAAAATTAAAAAAAAATCTCAAAAATTTTTTGACCTCTTTTTTGTCGATAAAAATAGGTCTAGTTTCATCTATTTTCATATACACACTTTAACGTGACTCACACTGTATGAGTTCATTATGAAGACCTTGCGTTTACAATCCCAACAGTTTTTGTTAATATTTGGCTTCTAAACTTACAAAAGCAAAGAAATAAGATCACGGAGGTAGTGATAAAAACCTACCAAGCATACTTTCTTATAAAACTTCCATAAAATAATAAATATTGGGGGTCCAATATCGTCTGCAAGACTCGTGAAGACTCTTTGCCATACTGAAGTCAAGCTGGACGTAAAGGACTTCAATTTGGAAGGCCAAAGATATGAACTGAGCTTTCTAATCGCTAAAATGATCAAAAGTCAGCCAAATTAAAGTCCTTTACGTCCTGAAACGTCCATTTGAATACGGAAAAAATAAATTCGATTGACCGCAAATCCGTACTCTTATTAAGACACTGTATTTGTAAACCACATAACACAAATTGAATCTGAAGCATGGCAAAGCTTTGTTTTAGTAGTCAAACAATATTTGGGGAGTCATAGAGCACCAGACTTTTCAAAATTGGTTGCTAAATTGTTTTAAAAATTTAACACATAAGGATCTAATTTGAGTATCATTTTTTTTTAACAATAGCCATTTGGACAGGTTCTCCCATAATCTGGTTGATTACAGTGAGGAATAAGCAGAACGGTTCTACCAGAACATCAGGATAGTGGTAGAATGATATCCACGGTCAATGGGACCGCCAGATGATGGCTGATTACTGTTGCCATAATTATGGAATTTTCCTGACCAAAACCATAACATAAAAGCTTACAGAAAAATCTTTTTGTAGTTTTTTTTCTATTATTTGATGAAAAGCAAATATATTTTTAATTTTTATATCGTTCTTAAATAGGATCTTAGTGTATTTTTTTTTTATACAGATTGGTGTTTTTATTTTGGTTTTTTTCATATGAATAGTTAATAGTATTTATCTCAAGATCTAGAGTCAATTTGACAAATCTAATATTTTTCTAGTATTCAGCACACTAGTCGCATACAGAATTGACTCTAAACTACCATGCCGCAAAATGACTGTTCCCCAGTGTAATAATACGAATGAATACATTTATTGATCGACCACTTTCCACTCGTGCGCATATTTTTAGCCGTGCCAGTGACCTTTCGGCTATTTTGATCATATTTAGCTATGGATTTGCATCCATGCTTACTATTGCTTACTTCTTTGTATTCGATTACTTCGTTAAATTTTTCATATAGTAATGGGAATTATGAGGTAAAAATATTTTCAGTATTTTGTTTTATTTCAAAGTTACTAAAAATCGACAGCTCACAATGACTTGATAGGCTTGATAGAAGTCGATCCTCAACTACGAACTCTCCTAATATTAATCTGATTATTAATTTCGTTGCTTAAACTGTCCCACTTTAACTTTCCCGCAGGACAAACTTTGCCTTCACTGGTTGAGTCCAATAGGGTATTTGACACCACCAACCAATGAGGGCTATCGTTTTTATACTTAACAGTTGGTACCCCTGGCGATTGACAGGACCTTACTCTACAGTGGCGCCATCTTGATGAGTGCAAATGCGATAGTCCCCCTACCATTTTAGCGCTCACAAGTTGGTGCCACTGTCTTCGCTATTAGCAAGTGACAGCAGGACCTTACTCTACAGTGGCGCTAACTGGTGAGCGCTAAAACGATAGCCCTCATTGAAGTACTACCTGTGGTACTACCTCTTAAATAACTGTCAAAAGAGACTCTATGGGAGTCTTGTTTTTGTAGGGCAATAGGTCTATGACGTCACTATTTTTCCAACTTAACTGACAAAAACTTATCAATTACAAAGCAACCAAATTTAGTTTAAGGCTTGGTATTTCTTCTAAAGTAGGTATTTCGCGCTGTCAAAATCTGCGCGCGCAATTCTTCGCCGAAAACAGCGCGTCAAAGAGCTCCCGCCACAATTTCCAGCTACACAGTATAGAAATACACAGTTGGTTAGGTTAGGTTGACTTCCTTCCCTTCAAGCGTCACACTCACAACACTTTCTAATACAAATCATATCCAAGTGATACAAATTAAAACACCTTTCACACTTTTTGGGAATATATTCTAGAATCGAATAAATATAAAATATAACTGCAGAAGTAAATACGGTTCAAAGTGGCCGTGGCGTCACCCGACCTTCTGGAAGTGCTGCGCCGGCTTAAATAATTTCAAGATTACGTCACCCGACCTATCGGTAGGCCCTTGGGAGCTTGAGCGATTGGAATTTTTTTTTATGATAAGTTACTCTTAGTAGCGATTATTTAGAGCTTGGATAATATCTTAATTATCAAAAATTTTAGCTTTCTCCAGTAACACTGGTATTATTATACTGTGACTCATCAAAGTCATCATTGTCAAAAATATTGACAAATCGAGAACTGTCACGGCCAAAAAACTGGCACGCGTCCGTCCTCCGTAAGCGCCACCGCGCGACTGATTGAGATTGTCCAAGCCGTCATGGGCGATTTTTTCCACATTTTTTAACATAGTAACTAAATAAGACGCAATATAAAAATTTCATCCGTTAAAAGCCCTCAAGTTATTTCTGAACTTTAGTTTAGTAAAAGATTCAGAATCTCAAATCGCTTATTTTAAAAATAAAACCATAATTAGAAAACGAATAGAGGTAACTTTGGGAATTTATTCTATCGAGTCAACTTCATCAAATCGTGTTTCCATCCGTTAATAGCCCTAGAAAATATCCTCAACTATGCCCAAAAAAAATCTTAGCCTTTTATTTTACTGTTTAGTACCTCAAAAATGAAAAATGAAAACCTCATTTTCGCCATTTTCTCTGTTACCCGGCCTTAAGTTGATTTTTAAAATTAATTAAGTTTTTAAGACCAGAAAGAAGTGTGTGTTTAACAAAGACAATTATTGTTGCTATCATATACCCAATTTTAAAACTTAGTTGGTTTTCAGGGCTAGAAGGAAGTCTACTTATATAAAAATAAGTCGGGTTTTCCTCCCTGACGCTATAACTCCAGAACGCACGAACCGATTTCCACGGTTTTGCATTCGTTGGAAAGGTCTCGGGCTCCGTGAGGTTTATAGCAAAGAAAATTCGGGAAAAGGGGGTAAAACAGGATCCACGCGTACGAATTCGCGGGCGGCCGCTAGTATTTTATAGAAGTCTCTTCAAATTCTGGTGTCAACTACCCAGTCACCCACAACAAACCTCGCACCACGAGGATCCTCCACGTGTTTCTATTTACTATTACTTACGCATGCGAGTAAGAAATAGTATTTTTATACGCCATTGATTGTTTGGCAGTCGATTCCTTACTGATTGACACCTGCGTCATTTTATCGACATTTTTAATTCGATTGTGCAATACGATGCTACAAGCTCTATTTAAATCTATAGGACTATTCCAACTTCTTGTTCCCACCGCTGCAACTCCTGTGTAGCCAGGATATACAGCTTGACCGTCAATAAAAAATATAGCCAGGGTCATCATCGTCATCTCTCCCTCTCTAATTTACCAGAGGAAAAAGGGACTGCGTGCACTCCAAACGCTGTCTAAAAGGATTGGCGAAATTAGTTAAGTAACACTTAAATTTTAGGTGTCTTATCCTAAGCGTAGTTAAAATTCCAGTAAATAGGTGCGAATTTACTAAGCAAGCGTGATATCTTCTGAAAAAATATCAAGAGACGCTCTGACGTTAATTTCACTCCACACTACATCATTGGGAAACGTCAAAAACACGTTTTATAAATATTTTTCACGTTTTATAATATTGGTCCCAAAGCACTACCTTGAAGGACACCCCATTGTGTAATATTGACGCAGTGCCAGAACTATGTGGGTAGACCCACACATTTTTGTGTCATAGATCTTCAATTTATATTTGAAACGTACAGGTATCTGCTGACACAAAAAAACTTAGCGTAAATTTTCTAAAAATAGGACACATAATTTTCAGACCGTGACCATCGCCTGTTTAGCAATTGAAAGAGTTTTTCTCGAGTACATAATGCACTGAATTAATACATTTTAAAGTCTGAAAAACCTTGATAGAGACTGACAAATAGTGACTGAGTTTCTTGCGCTGCTTTTTCTCAGCACAGGCCCATTTATTGTCCTGATGAAGTGGTAGGGTTAATACTGGGACGTGTAAAAGTGCTTTTTAAAAGCCTACTTGCATAAATAAATGTGTTTTATGAGTTAGGAGAAGTTAACCTTAAAGTTTTGTTTATTTTGCTTGTATTAAATTAATACCTAATTGTGTCATATTTGCACGAGTAAGTAATAAATAAATATCTACTCGACATTTTGTATTGCAATAAATATACATTAATTTGTACGTGCCAATCCATTTTGTAGCGTTTAATTATAATGAGCAGTATTTTATCTTCTTAACTATTCAATTAATAATTCCCAAACATTTCTAATTGGAAACAACGTTTCCTTGGAATGCCAAGCGCGTTAAATGTTGACTGGTCGAGAATGCATCTTATTAAAGTCATCCCAACAACGCGAATTGATCTTCAACATCAAAACATGCAATCAAATGTATCTTGTTAACATGCCACTATTGATACATTTACAGCGTCTTAATCTATCGTACGCAAAAACAAATAAGCAGCCATCATATTTCAAAGTCCTCTGGAAATGTCAGCTGGACAAAAAAACGCGTCCTAACTCCCATTTATTTTCGTGCAGTCCCAATTTAACCGTCGACAGACACAGTCATGGCACCGGCTCGCGACTGAGCGCTGAAACGCGGCGGCCATGTTCAATTTCTTCAAGAGAAAAGGCGGGAAGGCCGAGGTCGGCGCGCCCGAACATTCCCGAACGCCCCCGACGTCTCCCGAGCATGGCGCGCGCGCTTCCCGAACCGACAGTGATGTAACGAACGACAAAACCGCAGCACGGAAAGATGTAGTCAACCTGTTGATACCTGAAGTGGACTATGCCCAGAAAACCAGAGTCAGCGCTCTCCTCCAAATGATGGCCGGAAAGAAAAGAAAGAACAAAAAGAAGCGAGCTGAATCCTGCCGCGTTTCGCCGCCGAAAGAGATGCAAACAAATCTGCAACGGAGCAAGTCAGCCGCGAGTGACGTGGCGGATACCAAAAATATAGTCGGGGAAGTTTGCGAGTCGGACGCGCACGGCGATCCAGCTGAGTTCGTCAAAGCTTTGGTCCTGCAAAAATACACCAAGCCCGTCGACAAACACGTGTCGCTTGTCTACGTCTCTGATTCTGTTTTGGACGAGAAACGCCATGCTGAAGCATTGCTGCGCGAGATTGCGAAGAGCATAGACTGCACTATCGATGAGATTAATGATAACAAGACACAGATGGGGGCCAATGACAGTAAGATCGGCAGAAACGAGCCGGTGTACGAAACTGTTGAGGAAAACAAAAGAACTGACATTGATTCTTATAAAAGTGACCTGAAAGGTGAATTAGAGAAGCTGCTGCATACTGAAGAAACGAATTCCAAGGAAGAGTCTCCAGGGCAGATCAAAAAATCAAACTTAAAGCCTCCAAAGTCTGATACAGAAGGGTGTTCGGATGATGACCGCTCGGACTGCGGGAAAAAGAAAGTAACCTTCAGAAAACACATAGTCTTCGACGATGGCGATCAACAGACGGACGACGAAGTGGACTCAACATTCGAATCTCTCACCTCTGAGGAAGAAGAGGAAGAATATTTGGAAGACTCCTTGCCTGACAACGACGAAGTTAACTACGTGTCCCGAAACGAAAATAGAACTGTAATTGAAGTGACTGAACCGAAAAATGATAGTGAGGACGTTCTAAAAAGGATTTCTAGTGACAACAGTGACAGTGGTTTTATAGATGGTGAAAAAAATGAGTCTGGTGATGACACTACGTGTGGTAAAAGTGCGGAAGTGGAAGAAAGTGAACAGAGTGAGAGTGAGGTGACCGAGAGTGAGACAGAGGAGGAGGTGATTGAGGAAATCGAAGAAATTGAGGAGATTGAAGAAATTGAAGAAGAGGAGAGCTTGGAAGAGAGCGTGGAGAGTGAGCCAAAGCATTTAGATAATAAGTAAGTATTAGTTTTATTCTAATATCCTGTCTATTTTCTTTGCATTCTTTGTATTTTGTGTGTAAAGAACAAAAAAGTTTCACAAACAAATAGTCTAGCGTCAATATATTTGCCGAAATTTTCTCATACTTTATGACCTCATTATTCCTGTAATTCAAGCTATTTATTACTTTGTTTGTTTGGAAATTGATTGCAAGGAAAATACGCCATGTACCGACGTCACTCCTTTTATTTATATTTTCAAATTATGTTTATAAGTTTCTTTGTTTACTTATCCCCTTTCTAAATCAAACAAAGACGTTGTTGATGTTATTGCACTCAACTATTTATACTTTTTCTACCTATGCCCGTACTTCGTATGTACGTAAAGAAATAGAATAGATGTATAGCCTGACCAGGAACATAAAAACCCTGGCATAGTGGCGCGTCAATTGCATTTGATAGTGCAACACTGAGTACAGTCGTACCTGTGTTAAATTAATAGGCTATAGATGACCCACGCTGAACTGTCCCGCCAAACTCAATGACAGGGGGGCGCTACCATCGTTCAACTATATGGTTTCCAACATGGCAAAAATCTGAACCAGCGATCCGGTATTGACGGTGGCGCCCCACTGTCAATGTCATCGACAGGACAGTCCAGTATTTTGGAACTATAACTTTATGTATCAGGATTCAGAATTACNTTTTCATAGTTGACTGTACTATACGATAAAATGTCAGTCAATTTGACAACCTTTGTCGGAAACATTATTCAATGAAAATATTGTCCGAACCCTTAGTATTTCTCTTCGACAAATACTTTAACACATTGTGAACCACTTTTCTTTCACGACTATAAAAAGATTTTAGCAATTTATTCACAAAATCAATTGCGCACATTTAAAATAAAGTTTGTTTACACTATGACAGCAATAAACTGACATGCAAGGTGACATTATAATGAAGTTTTCAGTTATACTGTTGCCATTAAAAGAAATTAGTACCATTAGTTTTCCGCAACATGGCGAGGGTTTTTATGTTCCTGGTCAGGCTATACTTACCTATTCTATTTCTTTACGTACATACGAAGTACGGGCATAGGTAGAAAAAGTATAAATAGTTGAGTGCAATAACATCAACAACGTCATGGGCTATCCAACACAACAAGAATTTTTCAACTCCGATCAGTAGGTATTAGTTCCTGAGAATAGTGCGTTAAACTTCAAGCAAAAAAACTCTTTCAGCTTTATAATATTAGGAAGGATGACCTTAGAAGTCTACACTATAGAAGTTGTTGATCAAAATGTATTTCAGTTTATTTATAGACTTCCCACCATTAATCATTGACGTGGCTAAAAATAGACGATGTTTACGACACGTGGTGGTTTCGAATATTTTATAAACATAAGAACAGTGGCGTAGCTATCGATACGGGACTATTCCCACCTCTCGTTTCCACCGCTGCAACTCCTGTGTAGCCAGGATCTACAGCTTGACCGCCAATAACCCAACCAGTGAAGGTCAAGTTTGTCCCGGGGAAAAGTTAAACTGTTATTGGACCCGCAACCAAATTAATCAGAAGAACATAGGAGGAGTTCGAAGTTAAGGTTCGACTTCCTTCCATTGCAAAGCGGATGACAGGTGACAAATAAAGGTTTAGTAACTTTTTTGAACTATCGATAGCTATCCATGACCACTTAAAACTCAGGGGGCTCACGTCCTATGACTATGACCAGCAAACATCTAGTAACAATGAAAAAAAAAAGATATTATATCAGTTTTCGCCCTTTCCCTTCAGATTCAATAATGACAAACTGTCCCATTTAATGCCGGCCACAGACGTCTTGTTGTATAAATTTTCATTTGTAAACTAATTTGTACAAATTAATAAGCTATTTTTTTTCGAAATCATTTCAGTCACAGGACGTCCACTGTTAAACATTTGCCTCCCCCAATGACTTTCGTAATGACCGGTTGGTAGCGACCTGCATCTAGCGCCTTCCTGATATGAGGTCGTCGATCCACTTTGCAATATAATGATCTACTCTCTGCAATACGATGATCCCACAAAAGCTTTTGTCCGTCTTTGCAAACATTGTTAGCATAATAGCTCACAAGATAAATCTCCATAATTGATGCTTACTCCTATATCTTTTCTTAAAGGTTACTTCAATCTTTATTTTGTCACCTGTCATCCACTTTGCACTGGAGGAAAGTCGAACCTTAACTTCGAACTCCTCCTATGTTCTTCTGATTAATTTCGTTGCTTGTCCAATGACGGTTTAACTTCCCCCGGGACAAATTTGACCTTCATTGATTGGGTTGTTGGCGGTCAAGCTGTAGATCCTGGCTACGAAGGAGTTGCAGCGGTGGGAACGAGAGGTGGGAATAGTCCCGTTTTTTGCTATGTGTATTTAAACCTGGCTGAATCAGTTACCAATATTAATTTTATCATGAACTAGCGGCCGCCCGCGACTTCGTACGCGTGGACCCCGTTTTACCCTTAGGAGTGAAGTTTCGAGTTTTTTAGGGTTTACCCGGAAATTATTCAAACTTTTCTCGCTGTAAAAACCATCCTTGGACTTCAACAAACATTTAAAAAAAAGAATTAATTGGTCCAGGCGTTGTTGAGTTATGCGCTTACCAACACATTTTGCGATTCATTTTTATATTATAGATTAAACTTCAAGGCAAATCTGTTGCAAATTGATTGCATTATTTCATTTCATATTGCAATTGTCTACAATATAATGCATGAATAACCGATAATCGCATCCCAACAGCGAGCGATGCCAGAATCGCATTACGAATCGATTCTATTTATAAAAGGGAAATCGATTACATAAAACAACGAACGAAAACTGGAAACAAAAGATTGTGTGAGGTTTTTTTTACACATTCTTCTTTAGCCAGTGTCAGTAATTACCAGCCCCCCTAGACAAGTGACAGTTTATAATTTCTTGACTTCACGGAGCGAAGTAACTACAAACGCTGGAGCGAAAGGTTTTCGAAATTCCAACAGTCATGTTTTGCCACTTGTCTAGGAGGCTATGGAGACTGTTATATAATATCCACCTTTCCCTTGAGTTTTAGATAATATGTGGCACTATAATGAAACTTCACGTGAATTTTTTTGAAAGATATTGAGGTTGATTCTGCATTGTTTTGTTTCATTTTGCTTCTTCTTCGTCTTGTCGTGTAGACATCAAACCTACACCATAGTGTCAGCCCAAAACTCCGCTACAAGTGTGGCGTTGTCATTAGCTTTCATCAAATCTTCCTGCGTGCAGTTGTTTGGGTACGCAGGGCACGACATCATGTGCTTCGTTAACTGGGGAACAAAACAACACTTGCTTCATTTTTCTTACACATTATAAAAGCTTCCATCTGGACAGCCACAGGACAGCACGTCCACTGCTGAACATAGGCCTCCCCCAATAAAGTCCAATGCATGAATTAAATCGAGTTAAGCTTTTGTTCTGAACGAATCACACAAAGTAAGGACAATTTCTTCGCACAACAAAATAAATTTTGTGTCACTCAATCTAAGTGCAATAAACCCAAAATATCCAAAACCATGTTAAAAACAAAAGGAAATAAAAACATCAACAATGAACGCGAACTAAATAAAACATTGTAGAAAATAAATGTGACTCAGCGTAAAACGGAACGCTCGTGCGTCAAACATGGCGTCCTTGAGCTGTCAAAAAGCGCGCGAAATATTCTAACCTCTTAAATGCGGTCATATGATACTGTAAACAAACCATAATGCGTATTAAAGATTCAAAAAAGCATTAGAAAAAGATTTAAGAGATATTATGCGCCATTTATTCTTAGAATACTAGTTACGCGTCACTAAATGCGTATTTTTTGTAGCAGACAAAGAGGCATGGCTAAAATTAAACTTCTCAGTACTAGAACACATGTTGCTAATTGTTTTAGAGATCTCACTTTGTTTTCCATTAGGAAAAACCTTGAAAGCGTTCGATCTATTTTTACGAGAGAAAAATCTAAGAATTTAACGGCCAACTGATCACCGAAAAGTTTGTGATTTTTTAAAGTTATTTCATTGAATAGTACCTACAAATTTAATGGCGAACTTTAATGTCCTACCTTAGGCATTCTCAATTGAATATAATTTACTTACTAGATAATAAAGAAAAATATCATTGGGCATTTTACAAGCATGGTCACACACAAACTAAGAAAAGCTAAGTTTAAAAGTTAGGTAATTTGATTTTGTAACGAGATATTTTTAAATATCCTCTTCTACATACAGTAGGTATAGCCTGACCAGGAACATAAAAACCCTCGCCATGTTGCGGAAAACTAATGGTACTAATTTATTTTAATGGCAACAGTAACTGAAAACTTCATTGACATGTACCCTTGCATGTCAGTCTATTGCTGTCAAAGTGTAAACAAACTTTATTTTAAATGTTCGCAACTGATTTTGTGAATTAAATTGCTAAAATCTTTTTATTGTCGTGAAAGAAAAGTGGTTCACAATGTGTTAAAGTATTTGACGAAGAGAAATACTAAGGGTTCGGACAATATTTTCATTGAAAAATGTTTGCGACAAAGGTTGTCAAATTGACTGACATGTGTATCGTATAGTACAGTCCACTATGAAAATTAGCTGTGGTTTGTTTCAACTAACTATTTTGAAATTTTTTGTCACTTTCTAAGTGTTGAATTTTATGGAATTGGGAAAGAAGTACCGAGTCTGAAGCGTTCATGAGCAGACATTGCAGTTGAATATTCAAGTTCTGAATTTGATTATTGATGAATAATAAAATAAATCCTACTAGCTCGATTGATGGTTTCATTTAATTTATTTAAACCAGGTTACCTATAATAATATGTTTTCGTTAATTCATGAAAATATTAAATTAACCCGTAATCCTGAATCCTGATACATAAAGTTAGCCTATTAATTTAACACAGGTACGACTGTACTCAGTGTTGCACTATCAAATGCAATTGACGCGCCACTATGCCAGGGTTTTTATGTTCCTGGTCAGGCTATACAATCGTTTTTATTGAGTACGAATATAGACGGAAAAATCTCAAGTGTTTGCATCTGGTTTTGATCAGGAACTAACTAAATCTAGACTTTCTTTAAACAGACTTCGCTACCGTTATTTTAATAATATTAAATTGTATACACTCTTGACTCTAAAATACGAACCATTGGTACCTATTGAATTTGATCAAAATAATGTCCAATAAATAAAAATGTAACTTAGTATAAAAAAAACTGATTGTTTTTCAAGGCTAAAATAAAGTGTTTTTTATCTCTCTTTCTCTTCAAAACTCTCTCTTTTCGCAAATGTAAGTTTAATGCAATAAAAACTGCTGTTTTGCCAATAATTAAAAAAATCATCGCCTGTATGTTTGCCATATATTCGTAAATAAAATATTATCGTAAACTCTTTTGGAATCACGATATTTTTCAGTTAACTATTTTCAGTCTGAATCCTAATTTATGGCTTCAGTATAATCATTTCAGACTTTATTCTATGTACTAGAATTATTTATAGCCAAAACATTCGCTAGATTGAGTTTGTTGAAAGGTCTAGATTATTTTTGAATGAAAAATTTGAGGTTGCGCTCTTAACCAGACTTCTGGCCTTCGCAGTTTGTTTTATCTAGATTTTACATCTAGGCACATTCCTATTGTAGGTATCAAAGATACATTACATTACCTGCCTACTATTAGTACATTACGTGAAACAACTTCTTTCTTATTCTTGTTTCAAGGGAAAAAATCCGTGCTTTTAAGCGATTTTGTGCAAATATTATTGGCAGACACCTAATTAGCTAATTGCTTAGAAGATGGTCCCTTTAATTGCATTTATTGTCCGTGGTGCATAATGTTTTCTTAAAGGTTATTAAACCTTTGTTTGTCACCTGTCATCCGCTTTGCAATGGAGGGAAGTCGAACCTTAACTTCGAACTCCTCCTATGTTCTTCTGCTTAATTTCGTTGCGGGTCCAATGACAGTTTAACTTTTCCCCGGGACAAACGTGACCTTCACTGGTTGGGTTATTGGCGGTCAAGCTGTAGATCCTGGCTACACAGGAGTCGCAGCGGTGGGAACGAGAGGTGGGAATAGTCCCGTTCTTTCTTGTTCTATTCTATCGTTAGTTGTAGTCCAGCTTGTGGTAAGACAGTGAGATTCTTTCCATCATGTTCCCTTTGTGTGTGTTCTTTATTTGGTTAGTATTTAGAATTTCATCAAGGTAATCTACTATACCTACATATAAAAATAAGTCGGGTTTTCCTTCCTGACGCTATAACTTCAGAACGCACGAACCTATTTCCACGGTTTTGCATTCGTTGGAAAGGTCTCGGGCTCCGTGAGGTTTATAGCAAAGAAAATTCAGGAAAATTTAACAAACGAAATTCCACGCGGGCGAAGCCGCGGGCGGAAAGCTAGTTGTTCATAAAAATAGCTATTAAAAAGTATTACACGTTCGAAAATAATAGATTGTTCGTTGCACTTGAGCTTGGCTCTTTAAAGTAAAAGATTTTTGGTTGGTTCATTCATATTTTTAGTAATGTGGTTTGCGCCCTATTAAAAGTTTGTTGTTCGTTACTTTGGAAACAACATCTTTCCCACCACTACTGTAACTTTTAAAGTAATTTCAAAATCAACATAAAGACCTTCCAAGCTTCCAATTTTTACGCCACTTTATTTTGTTGATTCCAATAAAATAAATTTAATGGTTCTTCTATCAGATCTTATTATTTTGTAATCTTTTTCTTTATGATGTGGCAGGAAGTAGATATTAATATATCACTGTCAAGATCATAAATCATGTTAACAACATTATGAATATAATAAAAAGCCCCTAAATATACGATAACAGTTTTAACAGGACTTCAAACATGTTTATGACATATAAAATATTGGCAGAGATTGGTAACGCAAATATTTTGATGCTCCCACGCAGTTCCGGTGGAATATTCAATGAAATAACAAATTTTTGGAATGCTGATGCATATTTACTAAACTATACTGGAATCATGTTGAATAGAAAAGGGATACGTCAGTCGCCATTTTTCCATCGGGCTCTCTGTGTAAGAGCCCAGTGCACCGTTTGCGCTACAAGTGATGTCTCGAATTCAATTGCGCTTCATCTCCAGTCGTTTACGTCTCAACTTCGTTTGAACTAGTTGTCAACGACACCACGATACGGATTTGTCAAACAGCTGATTTACGTGCCTCGTCCAGTTGCGTTGCAGCTGGAAAATTTTACCGCAATCGGGGCCCAGGAGCCCCATGATGATGGAGGCATGATGAAAAATTTCTTCGAATTCTCTTCCATTCTACAGATTACTAATATCCGATTCAATAAAAAATTAATTGATTTTATTCAACAAGCATATAATTTTAATTACTAGCCTGTGAAAGTTAGAGTTTACGTTACGGTGCAGATAAGTGTGCGTTGTAGCACGGCGTTTCATACAAAAAATACTGACCGCCTCGAGTTGATACGGTTACGATCCGTTTTCGGACTGTTAGTGTGCTTCGTCCTTAAATGTGCGACCCAGCTCATCAGATCTTATCTTTTCTGTTCTTACAGGAAAACCCTGGTCAGCCAGGAGTCAAAATTCCAGAACCAAGTCACCGCCCTCACAGAACTAGCAGATTCAAGATGCGGGGAGGCGGAGAGAGCGAGAGAGCTGATAGCGGAATACAGGAAGGAAATAGAGACGAAAGATCAGGAGATAGAACGTGAGTATACATTTGAATTTGACGTGTGAAACATTTGACCTCTTTGTAAGATAGAAGAAACAAAATGTTATCATGACTTGAGCCATGGTTACTCGCTAGTTTTTATTGAATTTTAAATCAAGTAAAATCATGTTGTTTATACACAGAACCGGAAAATTCTTGGTGAAATATATTCCATTTGGACCGCTGAACGTAGCCAAGACCTATACAATTAAATTTGGAAAATATTATATGAACAAGGTTGTGAAAGTGCCAATTGGTTACTTTGATGATGTTGTTATTGTCTCTTAAAGTAAACATAATCATAACAATGAAAACAAATCGACAATATAAAGTAGATGGAACAAAACATATCGCACCCTTAATAATGAATGGGCACAACTCCAAAATTCCGTTTTTTGGGAAAAGCCAAAAAACCAATCGGCGGATCGCGGTTTTTTACATAATTGGCTCTAAAATCTTTATTTTATCAGCTACAACTTTCAAATTAAGCATACTTCATCACTGGTATCTGTTATATAATTTGACATAAGACATTTTTGAAAATATTGATTATGAGTATTTAAAAAAATTGTTTAAAAAAATATTTCAAAGTTAGGCCTTTATTTTACTATTTCTGTTGTTGTAATTTTGGGTATTACTTGTACTTGTGCCCATCTAATCCTTAGTCTGAATTGTTTTATATGGCATATTCCCTAATATTGCTCTCTAATATTTAAAAATAAGTGTATTATTCGATTTTTATATTGATTTACGCCCAATAACATTGGGGACAGTTATTGTGCGGTATAGTAGCTTATAGCCAATTCAGTATAAGAGTAGGGTGTTGAATACTAGAAAATTATTAGATATGTCGAATTAGATTAAAATAAAGACTATTAGCTATTTCTCTGAGAAAACCGACATGAAAATACTAATTTTATGCATTCTTTGAAGTTCATCGAAGATAGCTGCTTTTAATTTTTCCGTACTCATCATCATTTTGCTTTTGATCATTTTAGTGATTAGAAAGCTCAATACATATCTTTGGCCCTCCAAATAGAAGCCCTTTACGTTCTGCTTGACTTCAGTATTGCAAAGAGTCTAGGTACACATGGTTTACGACGATATTGGACACCCAATATTTATTATTTTGTAAAATTTTTATCCCAAAGTATGCTTGGTTTGTTATCACAAACTCCGTGATCTTTTTTATTTGCTTTTGTGTACAATATTTGCCACATATTAATAAAAACTGTTAGTGGTTTTAACACAAGATTTCATAACGAACTCATATTTTTTAAGACAAAAAGCACTTTAGAACTTAAATTTAGACAAACTGAAAATTTCAAGGTCAACGTGAAGCGCCGCTACAGGCAGTATCAATAGCTGATCAGTCAAATTGTAGTAACTTAATACGTGAAAAGATAATTTTAAAATAAATTCGATGTATCCTCAGTCCTCAGAATCTGAGTGATTAATTAGCATCAATTTATGTGACCGTAATAAATTAATGAATAATATAATTAAAAATTATAACACTATCATATTAAAGTAATTCACCTTTTGGCTGACTAGTGCGTTTATTCATAAAATAAACAAAGAAAAAAGCCAACCCGAGCCCCGAGCGAACGTTAATAGCCTTAACACGTAGGTATGTCTCTTATTTTATTAATCATTAGTTTATTTGTCGGGAAGTATTTCATAACCACCGCTTTATTTCTTAGCATCGCGATAAAACATTCTATAGGCTCCTAATCAACCAATAGATATGAAAATTAATACCAAGAAGCAAATTACTTTTATAGGAGAGTTGTAAATTTAACTACAAACACCCATCCATGGTCCGCCTAACTAAAGTTAAAGTTATATTTTATAATTTTCTACGATTAACGGGACTTTATCAATGTAATAAAAATGAAAAAGTAACATATTATTAGAAATATATGGAATTAATTAGTCTTAGCTCACTAACACTTACTTAAGTTTGTCATACAAAGGCACAACTCCAAATTGGACCACAGTCGCGGGGGCTGGATTCGACAAATATCGGCATTTCTCTGATTCAGCCCTTCTAGCGGGAAGATAGACGAAAGTATGGAAGGGGCACAAAATGTAGAACTCGTTTATCTGATCATTGTTTTCGATTTCTGTGAAAGCCATCTTGTAGAACTGACGAAAATGTGCCTCTCTAGTACAAAAAGTAAAAAACCAAAAATTTTGAGTTGTGCCCCTATATTATTAAGGGTGCGATATTGTGATATTTGTGATACTAATTTTAAAATTACGTCACTAACTTTACATTCAGATGAAAATACTTTCTATATTTATCCCACAAAAGAAAGTTGCAACCTTCGCAACATTAAAGTATTTAAATAGTGTATGTATAGTATTTCAATGAGACAAAATTCTCAGTGACTCACATGATTGCGAAATATTGTTTTTCTGCCAATAGCCAAAATAATTGCCTTCCAAACCCGTCTGGCCAGCGTGGGACGTGTAGACCAAATCCTATCAGCAGTGGAAACTAAATAAATAACTTGATGATTAAAGATGATAAAGCATTTTATTGGAGATCTAGTTTAATAGTTGCAACTGAAGCAACTTTTTACTTAACTAAGACTTATACCGTTAACCTGTATCCGGGCTTGTTCGAACGGTGATATCCCGTTTTTTGCAGGAACACGTTTAGTAGTAGGTATACGTTTTAATATTGACGTTCAAATGAACATCCCGTTTGCAGAGTCCCGCAAAAAACCGATTCGTTGGAATTTCTAATTCGAATTTCACACTCACGTAGGTACGAGTATTGTGTTCACACGACAGTCCAATTTTGCGGGATACTGCATTACTGGATACTGAAAACTGGATTGCCGTGAAAACGAGCCCTTAGTAGATACTCCCAATAATCAAGCGGTCAATGGGGGGATAACTGATGACCCTTAGAATAATGCAATGCGACACCATTACCACCACAATATTATATTGGTTGGGCTAGCAACATTTAAGTATTAACACCTGTTCTTTGTGAATTTATATCTTCCGCCATAAACTTTATGGGTCAAGTCAAGCTACATTACACTAACTACCGAGTATTTGAAACATTTTGTTGACATTTGCAAGTATTTGGCACGATGTCTACTCCATAATAATATTATGTCTAGTCCCATAGCAAAGGGAATTCCACTATGTCTACTCCATAATAATTATGTCTAGCCTCATGGGAAAGGGATTTCCCTGAAGAATTTAATTTCTTTGGTTTTAGTCAGATGATGATCTGCTTATTACCTAAATACTAGTTAGCATTTGCACGCCTTATCTTTATAGTTATTCTGATGATGATTAGTTAAAACATATTTATTAAAGTGATCATGATAGAAAGCTTGAAGCCAGGACTCTACCGCCGTATCAACGTATCAGTGATACGGGCCCCTGGAATATAAGGGCCGGATAAACCATTAGACCAGTGGTTCCCAAAGTTGTCTGGGCTACGACTCGTCTTATACAAGTTCCCAAACTCGGGACCCACCTGTAGGAAATTTAACCGTTACCAATATTGTACCTAAATAAAGGACTCGGATCGGTAGGGTGGTGTGTCGTTCTACAGGCAGGGCCTACTCTATGTTCTCTCGACCCACCACTGACTGGGTCGCGACCCATAGTTTGGGAAACCCTGCAGAATGGTTTATTTCCAAGAAATGTACTATGTTAGTATGTAGTAACTGTAAGACTCTACTCGTCTCACATAATGTGTATTGTTAGATCATCCGAGCGCTGTATCTATGCTAAGACAAACACAAATCTTGGCAAATCTTGCAAATGTCACATATTTTAAGTGGCGACCAGTCCTATTAATTACTTCGGAACTTTTCCAAATGAAAAGACCGCATTACAGCAACTCTGCGCTGTATTTCATCATCAGATCATTCAGTCTCCACTGCAGGAGCAAGACCCTCTAATTTACCAGAAGCTTTGGACTAAAACCTCCACGCTAGCTAGCTGACGGGTTTGGGAATCTAGAATATTCCATCTAGCAACCATAATGATGTATGGAAGCTGGAAACATTGTGGGATAGATCCAGTTTATTCTGTACCCTATTATTGATTGATACCGTTTGATATAGCTCATGAAACGCTTTCAGGATCAGTACACAGTACTAGTTTTTTGATATCTTGTATTTTAGAAATAATCGAGTGAGATCACTTATCGTTTCCACCCTGTATAGTTACACCTGCTTTTACATTTAGGTTTAGATACAAACCACCTTCCCACTTTTTATTTTAAACAAACTGCCCTGCGTTTTCTGGTAGAGATTGCTTTCTAGTCCTAGTTCGATAAGACTGGCTAAATTGTTATTAGTTTCTATGTTTGTATCCCTTTGCAGATTTGTGTGGTGTGCCATAAATAAGTAAAGCATAAAAAAGCATTGATTGCTCTATTTCAACAGATGACACTTTGTTGAAAATCCATCATCTATGAATAAAACTAATTAGTCACTTTAGCTTCATAGTTGCTTTTGCCTCGGGTGACTTAGGTACTTATTTGTTTTTAAAATAGGTATTAAAACAAAGAAAAGTAGTGTACAGTACATAAGAAATGCTTTTCTTCACCACAATTAACGTCATTAGGATTCCATGAAACCATTTGAATGAGTAAGTCCACAACCACGTACGAAGCCCACAGTAACACAGCAGACAAAAGCACAAAATTGAACGGTTGGCTTCACTCCAGAACTAAAAACAATTCGGAGTAAATGCACTCATTAAACTCTTTATGCAGGTGGGAAAGGGAAATTAGACGAGAAGTTTTTGGGGGAGAGAATTGAAGTGGGAAATCGAAAAACAAGAATAACACAAAGCCATCTGCTTAACTATACAAAGGTGATAATGATAATTATGTAGATAGGAACATACAAGACAAGAATTTTATACTAGTCCCTAACTAGGCAAAAGTATAGATATAGATAGATAGAACACACTTTATTGTACACCACAAAAGACAAGAAGAAAAAGAAAGAAATATACAAAAAAATTAGGCGGTCTTAACGCTATAAAACGATCGGTACAATGTGTAAACTAATAATTTTGTATTCGAATGCAATCCGTTGTATTATCTCTCGTTTAAACCACTGAACCGATTTGAGAGATAACTAGAGACCCAAGGAAAATAAAGGATAATAAGTTCCATCCCAGTTTTTGAAAGGTGAGAAGAAGAAAGGCTTTCTGTGGTAAATTAAATTTTTGCGGGCAAAGTCGTGGGCCAAAGAATGCTAATAAAGACAACGGATCAGAAAGTATCTAGTGACATTTCTTTACTAAAGTCACAAAAAGGCATAGCACACTTATATCAACCCAGAAAAGGACTGTAACCGGATCAGCTCGAGCCGGTCAGTATTCTTTGTATGAAACTCCATTCTGCAACGCACACTTATCCGCACCGTAACGTAAACGCATCACCTCGCAGTTGACAGCGCGCGAAAGGCGATACGGTACGTTGATCCCTTTCCGAGTTGATAAGTCTGCTATGATCTTAAAGCCCAAAGTGATCACTTAGCACCAACCTAATAATTTCATCCCAAAGTTTGTGCCAAAGTGTCGGTAGAGAAAGCTATATCCGGACGAGTGTAAGTTCCTTGAAAAAGGTTGCAAATAAAGAATTTAAAACAAAAATAACCCCTTACAAGAACTCCAGAAATACACCAAGGTCAATGCTTCGGAGCATTGCTCTTGTGGACTAATACTGCATCTGTCACAAAGCTCTTTAATTCAAAAAGTTTTTGAACTTGGCCGGTGAGAGGTGGCTGTACAAATGATTGGACTGGTGATGATTTAGCAGAAGAATGATGAGATCTCATTCCTTTTTTATGGAGTCTTCCAAAAGACGTTTTGACTGTGGTTTTGAGCCGGACGTCCGGACCGCACACGGAAAACTGTTTCTATACTTTGACTTATGATAAACTGCGTTGAAATTAAAATGTCAATTAAAACAGAGTGTGCGTTCCTGACCATTGCAAAGCACAATTTATTGCTCCTTCTCATCTCAAAAACTCTTATTTGAAAGAGCCATAAGTAGGTAATAATATTAAACTAGGCCGTGTTGAATAAAACCATTCCCACTTTTCCTGTGGATTTCACAAAAATGGCGACTAAGGGACAAACATGAGAACATCAGGCCTCCCCAAGTGTAACAGGCCAAATTAGAGAGAATCATTCTCCTGAAGGCAATTCTAAACACTTCTTACCTATGTCAAGTTCTAAATTGTTTGCAAAAACATACTTTAATGCCTCTGACTGAATGACCTCATCTCCTGGGAACCAAAGCTAGATTAGTCCAATTAAAAGAAATAGGACAAACAATTAAAACCATAAGACCCATTAAGATCTATTAATTCGCGAGTTTGCCAATTAAAAAGCGACCATGGCCATGACTGATTCCTGTCATGATTTTAGACAATAATCGTTCGTTTTAGTCATATGACGTCTACTGCTGGATAAAGGCCTCCCCCAAGGATTTCCTCAAGGAGGTCCTTTTTTTGCCCTAAACCAAGGAAGGTATCATTACGCCTTCGCAATGACCGGTCCTGCGCTATTCGCATCCAGGTGACAATTTAAGACTTCCCGGACATTTACTGACTATATTGACTACACACTATTTGATTCTTAACTCCAACTTATTTATTTTATGGAGCTGTCAGGTATTTGACCGCAATCGCACCTGATGTTAAGTGAGATGCAGTCTAGGGTGGTACATATCTGCCTGTAAGTGACACAGCCAGCAGAAGGTAGCGAATTCCAGTCCCTAATAGCTGTTCGCATTATAAAAGAGTTATTAAAACGCCTAATTGATAAAGTTTTACGTAACATCAAGAAAAATAGCACAGTTTTTATTTAACTTTCACTGAAACTGGTTGGTATTAATATGAATTCAACGCAAAAGTTTGTAAAGCTGCCTAGCCTCAGTGGGAAAAGGCTTAAAACGAAGCTAGTAACTTAATTAATTTATTAGATTAATGACAACTTGTCAGAAACCTAGGACTGACCATATTTTTCTCCTGTGAGTTATTTCATCCAATCATGATTATCATTATCTGACTGAAAACTCATAGGTATTGGGTATCTCGGTTTTCTATTATTTTTGTTTTTATTTTTCTTGAAATTAACTTTGACTATGACTTAGACCACGACCCACGACGATGATTATCAATGATTTCATTTTAGTTGTCACTTCGCCCAGTTTTTAATCATCATCATCATCTCAGTCGTAGGACGTCCACTGTTGAAGGCCTCCCCCAATGCTTTCCACGTTGCCCGGTTGGTAGCGGCCTGCGTCCAGCGCCTTCCTGCTACCTTTACGATGTCGACCACCTTGTGGATGGACGTCTCACGCTGCGTTTTCCGATACGCCTCCACCCCAAAGATATGTTAGTGTACTCCAGTTTTTATATCAGGTTCTTTTGCCCACAGAGTTGAAATGCTCGCTAGCAGCCGCCTACAAGGAGTCGGAGCTGGTCAGGCAGAGGAGTCGCTCGCTGGAGGAGGAGCTTGGAGCCGCCAGGAGCTGTTCCGCAGACCTGGCCTCGCAACTGCAGTCCAGAAATGGTACGGAAGTCAGTTACTTGAGGTGACAATAGCCTATAGACTGCTGAGAAGAACGCTACAGTCTGGTCTGTGAGCACGTAGTATTTTGTCCAATGACCCCAAGCTACCCATCCTTATCGCTCGCGCGTAATTATGTTGCTATCGCGCTCGCACACTCACTGCGGGTGCCAGTCGCATAAGGATGGGTAGCTTGGGGTCATTGGACAAAATTCTACGTGCTCACAGACCGGGCTTTAGTATGATCCCTCCTTGTTGACCGGTGGACTATTGTGGTAAATCCACGCTTACTTTATAGTTTGCATAAAATCCTTCAAAAACTGAAACCTTTAAAAAACCTGGCTATATCAGTACGATATCCTGCTTCGGGGCAATTAGGTCGATTATTGCTGAGTAGAAACACCGCAAGAAGCTCAGTCGCTGGTGTAAAAAGGTGACTGTTTGTAAAGATGCGAATATCAGGCTTTCCCAACCCATTCTATCAACGGGAACGCGTGGTAAGTAACTTGCTTCTGAATGTATTGTAACTTCCTACTTTTTTATATTTAAACCGGCAGACAGTGGTGACTGAGTTTGTTGCGGCGCTTCTTCTCAGCACTTGCCAAATGTTTGTCTCGAAGCGCTGGTAGGGCAAAGAAAGAAGAAGAATTAGACCAAAATACTCCATGTGCCTCTGGTAATTAAGACAGGGTAGTGTTCCTTTGACGAACAGTGGAGACTACACTTAGGGTTGCCAACTTTTCTTTCAAAATATAAAGTATATCAGAGGTCGGAGAAGGAAAACAGACAGACAGTATTTAAAAAAAAACAAACAGTATAGCTCTACAACGCGTACTTAAATGTGGTGTTGGGCATTTACTTTTAAAAATATCTATGGATACTAGTGATGCTAGCTGAAAACAGTATTTTGTATACTTTATTTTTGTTCAACAGTAAAAAGTATAATTTAGTGAAAAACAGTATAATACTGTTCAAAACAGTATAGTTGGCAACCCTAACTACACTACCTTTGTCTCTAGTAATTTAGAGGTTCGTGCTCCTGCCTGCAGTGTAGACTAAATGACCTGACCTTCTAATTTAACCTCGTATTTCCAGATGAGTCCATCCGTCAGCTCCGCGCCGAGCTGGAAGATGCCCTCAACAGGCGAGCGGAGCTGGAGTCCAAGGTTCAGGCTCTGGAGAGGGACAAAGACCGGCTGCAGCAGGAGAAGATAGTACAGGAGCAGAAAGCGCAGGAGGTAAGTTACCATTATCTTTTTTTTATCCGTGACGAAGCTCTTGGCCTGCATCTCATCTGAAGATCAAGGCCGAACGTGGAAGCGAGCTTCACCCAGAACCCTCAACCACAGAGGAACTGGCTATCTTACCTCCGACTACGTTTCAGAATTGTTGGACTCTCAAAGTGTTATTAGTGTTGTTCACCAACTATCAAAACTTATTACGCCAAATAAGGCCTCACGTTACCCAACTTAAGACTCAGTATCTTGATCCAGTGACAAGCAGCGTTGGGACTATGGTTGGGACCAACATTGGCGCCAACCCGTAAACCCTGTGTAGCGCAGGAGGTAACCTTAGTCCCCCACATATACACCCCAAAATACAATGATCATCATCATTTCAGCCATAAGATATCCACTGCTGAACATAGGCCTCCCCAAATAATAATTCCATAGTGACCGTTTGGTAGCGGCTTCCAGCGTCTTCCTGCTACCTCTATGAGTTCGTCTGTCCGCCTTGTGGTTGCCTAATATTAGAGTAGTAAAAATTGCAAGGTTATGCCTGGTTATGCCTCTGCACGCGTTGGTGTGGTTGAAGCTTTAGGATGACTGGTGCCAAAATTATCCAACTTAAGAAAACGATCTTCTCTCTCTCTCTTCCAGGCGCTAGCAGCAGCAGAAGCGAACACAGCGAAGTGGCGAGCGGCGCACGAGGCCGCACGTTCGCAGGCCGCCGCGCGCGCCGAGCGAATGCTCGCCGACTGCGAGTGGAAGATGCGGGAGCTGGAGAAAAAGGCGCGGGAAGCTGAGAAGGAAAAGAAACAGGTACTTTTAAAGAATAATTACTTCTTATGTTATCTCTACATTAAATACAAAGAAACTGCGCAACATTTAGGCTGGGTTGCACCATCTTACTTTAGCTTTGCCAAACGTCAAAAATATGTCAAACTCCATACAAAATCATCATCATCATCATTTTCAGCCATAGGACGTCCACTGCTGAACATAGGCCTCCCCCAATGCTTTCCGTGTTGATCGATTGGTAGCGGCCTGCGTCCAGCGCTATCCATACAAAAAGAACCGGTTATTGTCATAGTTAAGGTTAATTAAGTTGGTGCAACTCGGCTTTCAAGTCGCAACTTAAACACGCAACGGATTTTACTGCGGATTTCATAGTAATAGCACAGAATAATAATACTACGCTAATAGTACTTATTATTGAAGGTTCGTTTTGGGCAGCCTTCGGGAGTGGACGTGCGCAACACGTGCGCTCCAGACGGTCCGACCCTAAAAGGCACTTACAAAGCCCTATGGCGTTTCGTTTGACGCCGACGCGACGGTTAAATCCAAATATTCTAACAGTGAGAATTACCCGAAATCATAGTCGCGATTATCTATTAACATAGTCAGCTGTGTAAAAATTAGTGGTTATAGGTCAATTTTTTGAATGAGAAAAACTGTAGGTGAGAAAAACGCATCGAGTACACAGTGACCAGCACAGCACCTAAGCTCGACGAAACCCGGTGAGATCTTTCCTTATCTTTCTTTCCTTATAAATATTTGGTGTCAATTATTTTGCCAAAAAGCACCAAAGCGAACACATAATTATGATCTAGTATTTTCATTTAAAAATATGTAACATAGATCGTATAGTTTGTCAAACGAAAAGCTCTAACTTTTGGTCTATAAACTCTAACATAAACTTTACTTATTTATTAACATTTTTGATACATACAGATTCTACATGTACTCTACATGTCTACATGTATTCTACTTCCTGCAAGTCATTATAGTANCACAGACGTCAAGAGAACAACGAGCAGCAGCAGTACAAGAACCAAGAACAGCCAAAGTCATCTCATCAAAGGCCAGACCGCCCATCTCATCGCATCAACGCTCAGTCCTATCAACGATAACCCGTCTTTACCTATTTTCCTAGACCAGGCTCAGGATGCATATCTACTTGGTTGTGGTCGACCGGTTGCGGTTTAAAAGACGCAGCGGCTAGTCGGCCGTCCTCTCCCATCCCAGAGCGTGTCTTTCCTTAAAATCGTGCCCCCTGGTATACCGGTTTGACCGGGACAGGCCTCGTCCTGGCTGGGTCGGCACTATCGTATCGTATCGTATCGTACGCTAATAGTACTTATTATTATTCTGTGGTAATAGATAAGTGTTTAAGAGTTGGCGCACACCGTTGATTTTTAGTTGGCCGATAGTTGTGCCCGATTTTAAATTGTATGAAGAATCGGCTAAATCGAATCGGCGTATTGTGCGCACTCCCATACATGCCCATACTGATCAACTGCCCGACTAAACTATCGGCCGACGAAAAATCAAGTGTGCGCCTACTCTAAATGTGTTCAAGTCGAGAAGTAGTGTGATCTATAGTCAATTGTTTTGTTCAAATAGGGTTTTAACGCTTTTACAGACTTTATTGAAGGTAGCAGAAAAAACTCATCATTTTTCCTCTTCCAGCTATCAGAAACAGTGGAGCAGCTCAAAACAGCGCCGCCATCGCCGATCCATCTAGCAGAGCTGCAACAGTTGCGAGGATTAGCCACGGAACAGCAGAGATCAGTTCAGGCCTTGACGCTGCAACTGCAGAGAGTGGAAACTAGGGAGGAGGCGTTGAAGCTGGAAGTGCATAGACTGAAGGAACTGCTAGAGAGGGAAGCGAGGACTAGCAAGGATAAGGATGAAAGGCATTTGCAGGTGAGGGATTGTTCCCACGAGCAACTTAGGTCGAGCGCATGACTCAGTGCCTCAAGTCATCATCATCTCAGCCATAGGACGTCCACTGCTGAACATAGATCTCCCCCAATGCTTTCCAAGTTGCTCGATTGGTAGCGGCCTGCGTCCAGCGCCTTCCTGCTACCTTTATGATGTCGTCGGTCCACCTTGTGGGTGGACGTCTCGCGCTGTGCTTGCTACTCTAATTTACCAGAGGCAAATATGACTCTAAATAAATGATCTGATAACTACTTATGTTTCTCCACCTTGTGGAATCCTTGGTTTCCACAGTTCCTCTGTGGAAAACAAGGATTCAGACAATCAAATGCTAAAACAAGTGTCACCATATTTCTATACGAACCATTCCTATTATGTACTTCATAGTCATCCTTGTTCACTTGTCTATGATCTTTAATAACTTAAATATTAAGTAGCTAATTTTCTCCCATTACAGACAATAGAGAGGTTAGAAAAGCGCCGCTCAGAAGCGATAGACGCGCTAAAAGCGGAGCATGCGCAGTCCGCGGCATCCTCGCGAGCGAACCTCGAACGTTTGCACGCGGAGCGAACGCGCGCGGCGCTCGCGCAGCTAAGAGCGGAGGCCGAGCAGGAGGCGAGGAACGCTGATAGAAAGCTGAGGGAGGTTACTACTAGAGTGAGTGGATATTTATTTTATTACGTATCAATATTCATCAACATCATTTCAGCCACAGGACGTCCACTGCTGAACATAGCCAAATGTATAGAGATTGATACATTATGCAGATTGCGTTCACTTGAGACCCGACCGCAGACCGCATCCAGTGTGGAAAACCTTTTATGGTCCAATTAAATAAAAAATAAAAATAAATTGTGTCAAAATTCTTTGTTCATTTCAGAAAAACGTTCGAATTTAATGCTCATATTCACAAACGATGCTTTCTTAAGTGAAGCAGCAAATCGAACGCACAACATTGAAATTGAGATCTGTGATTGGTGTGACCCTGTGCGTCCACGCGCACTGTGAGACCTCATAGTAATGTTTCTGAATACGGGCGTAAGACATTATTTATGTTCTTCTGTTTCCAGTTCGAAAACCTAAAAGAAGTGCTCGCCAGCAAGGAGTCGCAATTCGAGAAGGCCATAGCAGAAGCGCACAGCAAGGCTGACTGGGACATCATGCAGCTACGCCATCTGCTGGACAAAGCTGACATCACTTACGCTAACAAAGTGGAGCAGATGACGGAGAGATTTGAGAAGGAAAAAGGTATGTTTTCAACTAAATAAGTGAATTTGAAAAACGAGATGTTGTTTTGAACATTTTTTGCAAATGGCAGCCCAATGCAAGATGAGATTGTCATTAAAAAAACAATAATTAATGATTAATAAAAAATCAGTCAAGTCTAAAAACCTCGCATACGAAAAGTGCGTCCATAACGAGGCATAGGGAATATGGTTACCACCACATTTTGAACTTTATTATAGTTTTAAAGTCCAAAAACAATTAAACATTTATTAAAGGTTAAAGGAGAATAAACATTAACAAATAACAATATTAAATAGTAATATCTTTGATACCAAATATATATTTTTTCTTTCTTTCTTTCTTTCAAACACTAAAAATCGCTACACATTTTACACCAAGCAATCTAGTCGCAAACTAAGCAAAGCTTTTACTTCTACCATTTGTTTCATTCCAGAACAACTTATAGAAGAATGGTCAGAGAAGCTAAGAGAAGTAGAAGAAGAAGCAGCAGCTGCAGCAGACGAAGCTAAGCAGCTTCTAGAGTCTACTAGACTGAAACTCGTTGCTGAGAGGATGGAACAAGTGAACAAATTGAAAGAGCAACACAGACAAGAAATGGGTAAATACATTGTATTTTTGTTTGGACTTCCCGTGTATTCTTTGTCAAATTATATCAACAAAAAACTATACAAAAGGATCGCTCAATTCAGTTCTCTGGAGGAGGGAGCCATTTTCTAATTAATTCTTTCGTATTTTTCCGAGCTTTATCATTATTATCATCATCATTTCAGCCACACAGCCTTATGAACTCCACTGCTGAACATACAAATATAACTAGACCTCCCCTAATGACTTCCATGATGACCGGTTGGCAGCGGCCTGCATCCATTTTGAGAGCTTATTTTATTTTAAATCGATTTTTTATCATTTTATGTTGTCTACATACACTAAAGTGACCTTTAAATTAATCAAGAACAAGAAAAATACTGTTAAGTGATTTATTTATTATTATTTTCTTAACAGACGACCAATGGGAACAGTTTATGACTGACAAGGAGAATTGCCTCGCGCGCATGAAGACAGAGTGCACACAGGAAGGAGAAGAAGAGAGAGTTAAGAGAGAAAAAGAACTGCTAGAGGAAATTGCTGGTAAGTACAAAAAAAGTTAAGTAAAAAACATGATCCACCTTTTGGCACCGATGGATAAAATTACCAGGAGTTATGTGAATTAAAAAAAAGCATTTTATGATAGTTTGAATAACGATTAGTGATGTTATTTAAAAAAGTGCCTTTTACGGTGTGATTTCACCTGACTTGATAAGGGAATATCATCAAATACCTTTTCCCAGAATTGAAAGCACAAGTTCAATCAAAATCAGTGGATTTCGACCATCTAGCGGTAAAAGCGGCGGCTTGTGGCAGGACTCTGGCTGTTACTGAACAAGAACTCAGGTTAGTGATATTTTCCTAACAAATAACAAAACTTGTAAATACGTTATACATGGATGATATGATAATATTTTCACATTCGTTGCAGTAACATGCCTTAGATAGTAGAGAGTTCAGAAGTTTTAAAACATGAACTCATTGTAAATGAACATTTGTGGTTAAACCTGCATTAGAATAATCATCGAAAAAGCTTTTCATATTTGCATCAGATATTTACTTGGAAAAAAAATAAGTAGGTACCTATTTCATAGTTCTATCATGTTCCTTGCCCATGCTTGTTTAAAAGTGTTTTAGAATGACATGAATATGATTGGTAGCAAGATTTAGTCCTTAATACAAAACCTAATACTGTTTTGAGTAGATTGTACTAATTTTAAGTCTTTAAATATTGTCTTTTGGACGAAATTAGGCTACCAACAATGCATGTCAAAATTTATACCCTAAATCAAGTCTGACTATAAAAATATTAATTTTGATTGATTAAAATCCGTTTTTATTTTAATTAATTTTATCAAACCCTTATGGTAATCTTTGGTGGGTGTTTTTATAGTCAGTCTTTATTTGAAAAATGTAATTAAACACACATTACTTGTCACATTATTCATCATTTACATAAAACATTGTATCTCATTAGTATCATGTAGTTTCATCATTCCCACGACTCGTTATGTCCAAAAGGCAGTATTTATTTATATGAAAGTAAATAAATAAAAATAAGCAAAGCGAATTCATTTCAATTCAATTGTGAATAATTATCTAAATCCTATTTGAAATAGAATAAATTCGTCAAACGTCAAAGGTAATTATAACATTTTCATTTCGTATAACATAATAATAATATTAAATTCACAAAAGACAGCTAAAATTGAAAAGTTAATATCGCGATTTAGAAGAGATTTCCAAGATTTTAATTTGAAGTCAGTATCAGAAGATTGCAAATTTTTTTTCCGTTATTTGGTGCTTGAAATAGTCAACTATCGTAAAGTTATTTCTTAAGATGTAGCTGAAGAAACAACTTTCAGTATGTAAATGGAAGTGATTATAAAGGAGTATGTAAGAGTTTTAACTAAAATTTGATGTGTCTGTCGTCTATTTCTTCTTTGCAAAGACTATGGCTTCTTCTTTTCTGGCAATCTCTTGGTTTTGGGAACCACGATTTCGCCTCGTATTATTATCATCATGAGTGTTGTCTCTTCAAAAATGGTAATATTTGACAGCTCATCCGCCAGTACCGTCGGGGCGGTGATCGCAGCGAGCGGCGTGGGCGCACTGACCGGCTCGTTGCGTCTCGCTCTAGCAACGTTCCTCCTCTCGCTCGCTTTCGGCTTCTATTTACAAATACTGCAGAATAGGAAGAAGGCTTAATTCGGACGAGCAGTGTTTCTTTAATTAACGTATTTCATAACCAAGAAGCTTTCATTTTTAAACATACATTATACCTACTTATTGTTTTATGTTTCGTATGCATTGATTGTTGACCGGCAATTGCACAAAGTTATATTAAAAATCAGCAATTAAAACATCCGGCTCGAAGGACCATTAAGTGTTTGATGTCAGATTACACTCTAGCATAGTCAAGCTACGAGAACCAGAGCCTTAACTCAACTTGTATTGTATTTGTATTTATTACCGTTTTTATTAGCATTATCCCTGCTTTATTACTTAGATGCCCCTAAGATTACAAAATCGAATGCTCGCTCGAATACAATTCGTTTTGATTCGGCGCGCGTCAGCTCTATAACAGATTATGGTAATCGAAGCTTGTTTATATTTGCAACCTAATGAACACCATGCTTTATTATTTTATAAGGTTTTTTAAAATGTATTACTTTTTTATAATTTATATGAAATCAAAATACTGCTCGGCCGAACTATGCTTACTAATAAATAATAATTTATCCCATAATTTAAATACTGCCATTGGACATAGCTATTTGTTAAATATACACTATTTTCTAGTCATCATTAAATAAATATTATATTTTAGTTTTTTAGTAAATCGAATCATTTTTATGTTAGTTTAGAACAAACATCGGCAATCATTCATCATTTCTATGTATTTCTAAATTGCTCAAGTATTTCATTGTGATTTTAACATTCTATTGTTAAGAATTTAATATTTTGTAATTTTATATTTAATGCGTGTGAATTAAATGGATTTAAATAAACTTTTTTTCTGAATTTCTGGTCAAGTTTTTTGAAAAAGAAAAATTTTTCCCGCTATTTTTAATCACGACTTGACTTCCAGTTTATTGAGACACTACAGACGTGCTACAGATACACAAAACAAATTGACCAAAGCATTAAAATATAGCTTGTCAGCGATACTCAATCTTTTTCGTTTGGTCATACCTAAATGTGTTTTAGCCATGTGGTTTAAACGATTTGATGATGATGGGCGATCATAGATTGAATACCGCTGACTTACAGCAACGCACCACAGCTTATTTATTATTTTCCCCTTTTATTTATTTTATTCTAACTTTTGTCCAAATTTACCTGAACCCTACTAACGATAGAGAGGCCCTGGCGAGAGAGAAGGATCTACGTGAGAAGAGAGCAGAAGATGCGACGAAGATCAAGCAGGTGGAGCGATCTTCGAAGGACCAAATTGAGCATTTGACGAGAAAGTGTGCATGCCTGAGGAAACTGTAAGTATTCTATCTATTGTATTTTATTTCAAATTAATAGTCATTATCAGTCATCAAGGCGTAATGGCGCTAATGGGAGAAATATTATGCGAACTTCAGGCCTCCCCAAGCCCCAACCCGACTGGCCAGCGTGAGGAGTTTAGGCCAAAAATCTTCCATTTGCTTCTGGTGAATTACCTAGAGAGGTTCGTGCTCCTGCAGTGGAGACAATGATGATGATGATGATGATGATTTTTTTTCTGTCGATTCCTATTAGGTATTTTAAAATAAAAAATAAATAAAAAATGTATTTATTGCCTTCGAACCATTAGACAGGTACAGGTAGTTAGACTTACAACTATAATAATATGAAGTACACCGAAGGCAATTGGACCTGGCTCAGTCTACGTTGTATGGAGAGATCCTTGCAACACTGGTTTTCAGCCATGCCCAATTCTCTAGGATGTTGAGCGAGAATAAAGATATGAGGGCTTAAGAAATAATTATACACTTTGATTAATTATTTCTTAAACCCTCATAGAAATTTTTTGCAGTCTTTTGATGTCGAAAATTTATTTATTTATAGGGGAATAAAACTTTTAAAATCTATAAATCAGAATTGAATTTCACCATTATCTTAAAAGAATAAGCAATAATTATTAACACTGGAGCGATAACTTGAGTTTAATTTTGTTCGAAATACTTGAGCACGACTCACGAGAGCAGCACTGGGCCACTTACTTGTTCTGCCGAAGTAGTGGCAGCTTATTGTTAAAGTTATACTAGGACATGTAAAAGCGCTTTACAAACGCCTTTTTGTAGAAAATATACCTTTTATGTGTTTTATTGACATTAAAACATGTCCCCCACAGTTTCGACGACATCCGAGCGAGGCTGCAAGCTCGCGAGCGCAGCGCCGAGCAGGAGATGAAGAATAGGGACAAGGAGCTGCACCAACTGAGGGCAGAGGTCGCCAGGCTCACCAAGATACTGGTAGAACAGAGGTAAGAGGTGTTTAATACGTCTATAGTCTGGTCTGCGAGCACGTAGAATTTTGTCCAATGACCCCAAGCTACCCATCCTTACCACTCGCGCGTAATTAAATGTTGCTGTCGCGCTCGCACACTCACTGCGGGCGCCCGTCGCACAGTCGCGACAGCAATATAATTACGCGCGAGCGATAAGAATGGGTAGCTTGGGGTCATTGGACAAAATTCTACGTGCTCACGGACAACCCAGTCAGCGGCACGGGAGCGGTGACTTATTATGATGTGAGCATCTGTATTATTATTCTGTTTAATGGCTTCAATGGTGCGTGTTTGAAGCACACTGGTTTCGCCAATGTCGAGTGTTTAAAGAGACACGGTGGACAGTGGAATTTAAAGTTTTCTGAAAGAAATTTGAAGTCTCGTTGACATTAATTTGACGTCTCAAAAACACCCTCCCATGCCGCTCCCATGCCTCGGTCACTGACTGAGTTAAGATAGATGGCTTTCCTGGTACTTTCATAGCAGTAACTTGCACACTGCCATGTTAAAAAATTAAAGAGCGTTCGCCTTGGGAAACTGTTTCGTTCACCAAATTCTATTTTGTAACTTGTCTGTTCGCCACAGTTCGCCGAAGCTCGGCGCGCGCACGCGAGCGGACGGCTGCGAGCACATATTAGACGACGAGCGCCGGAAGGGTATGTGAGCGCTGTTCGCTGTCGCTAGCTAGGTGAGCACTGCAAGCTTGACGCCTTTGCATTGATGGATTCGATGAGGTAGAAATAGAAAAATAAAATGGCTGCCAGGGGTTTTAAAGTCACTTTTTGGCGCCAATTTGCGCCACTGTCAAGTAAGGTAGTGGCGCCAACTGGTGACCGTAAATCTAGAATATTTTGATTTTTAGCCATTTTTATTATGATTTACAATGCCTCCATTGAATCTAGCAAAATATGTTATCAATTTGTTAAGTTTTAGAAGAAAAGACGTTAAGAATCTTTAGTAAAATGAAGTTTTTTTAATAAAAATGACACCAGAAAAAATAGCGAGTTACAAAAAGATTGAAATGAAATTAAATAACTTTAGGAATATTTAATTTTCTTCTTCATTTTTAGAACTCGCTACACTTTTTTAATGGTTTTCCCCAATTTTGTTGTCTGTTTACACCGCCTGAACCGGTTTTTTAAAGATAATTACTTATGTAATTCTATATGTTGTGTAATTCATGTTCTAACTACATTTAGGTACTTAAAATCGCCTGGTCCTTGTGATGTACCTGTGTGTACCCAAGTAAAGTCCTTTCCCTAAAGATTTGAGAATTTACTTATTATAAAACCTAACTATAAAAAAAATACACAAATGTGTTGTGTTTTTTAACAATTTTTAATTTTAATGACGTATTTTTATAGCAATACGTATGTGTACCGTGCATTTATGTACCTACCTTACTGAACAAAACTTCTAAAAGGTATTATTATTGATTTTTCTTTATTTTGTAGAACTTCTGCCAAAAAAGGCGGGATAAAAAGTTTTTTTTTGCTACGACTTGCAAAAGCGTTGCCAGTGCCATAAAAAAATTAAGTTGCCAGTGCCATAAAAAGTTTGTATATTTGCAAAAGTTTTTTTTAAATCTGGCGTCACGAAGGCGTCAAGCTGTCACATAACAAATTCATTTTTTTCTTTTCCAAAACTAAAAATTCTTCTTAGTTCTCAGTAGGTGTACATAGAGGTACTCTAATACATTGTAAATAACCATTTTAACATCTTTTTAACTGATATTCTGTTAATATTTTATGCTTTTGAGATTAATTTATTACTTGAAATTAGTTTTTTTATCTAACCTAAAAAGGGAGTTTTAACTTTTTTTTTATATTTTGTATTTACATATTTGAGTATGAACCCAATTAATGTTATCCTAGCATAAAATTCTCACATGTTTTATATTATGACACGTTTTATACCTCTATATATATATATAAAAGAAAGTCGTGTTAGTTACTCCACTTATAACTCAAGAACGGCTGAACCGATTTAGCTGAAAATTGTCAGGGAGGTAGTTTAGAGCCAGGAGAAGGACATAGGATACTTTTTATTCCGTTCAAAATAAATAAAAAGTCTGCTTATTTATTGCCATTAAGGCGGAACAAAGTTCGCCGGGTCAGCTAGTTTGCTATAAAACTTCTAAATTAATAAAACTCCCGCGTTTTTTATGCCTTTGCCTTTTTAATGCCTTACATTAAAAAAACAAATGCTAACCAATCAAATTCCAGGCGGTTTTCGAACGCCCGAATTGGCGCGAAAACGCCCCACCATGGAGTTGCCGCTCCTGAAGCGAGCTGACGACTGCAATGGCCGCCAACGATCCAAGAGCGTTGACCTCCCTGCCGTCCAAGTCCCGGTTAGAATAAAACAGTTGGAAGGGAAGAAAGATTGATATAATTTTTAGTTACAACTTGTAACTTGTAGATCGTTTCATCCACGAAGACGCGCCCCACCATTCTTCCGCTAATGTTTGGGTGTTATCGGTACACGCTAAATTATCCATGAGTGTACACGCACACTACAATAATGACGCTCGGATTGCTCAGATTCAACTCCCCGCAACCCACGCGACCGAGACCAAAAATTGGTGGGGCGCGTCTTCGTTGATGACGATCTATACAACTCGGTCGTATTAACTGCGCATCTGGCAGCCGTGACGTCACATCGACGCTGTACGGATGGAGCGAAAGCAAGTAGGTGAGTGCGAGGGAGAGTCGCATTCCAGCGAGGTGCGCAGTAAACTTGATTGGGTTGTAAACGTTGTAATAAATGATGATGCTTCGAGCTCAAGCTGAAACTGTTAATAAATATTTAAAGCTTAGCTTTTATTTGTTAATTGCGAATAAATATTTAATATACGACAACAAAAGCCAAAGTAGGTGAATAACAATTTCCTTAAACTCTGATCTTACAAAAGTTAAGGAACAAAACTGGAACTGCTGCCGAAAGCACCAAATAACGGATATAAATGTTGTGTTCAGTTTTATACAAACGCATACTTATGCAAGGCTACATCCTGACAATAGTAAAAAGTACTTAGGTATTGTAGATATTATGCACAATAAGTGGTGGTGAAGCAATAGACTAAGTAAGAAACTCCGCTATAATCAATTTAGAATAATATTATACACGTAAATAACAAGCACGACAAGTTGGTGAAAACTTTGAAGCAATATTTATTATGAATCTAATCCCTCTGACGCTCGACTGATAATACGAACTTAATATTATGTCAATTAAATTTCAAAAGGGCACATTGATTTAATCAATGCTTGATTAGCCCTTTTGTGCTCACTTGGAGAAAATTGACGGTAGGCACATTCCTGCTCAACCAGAATCTCGGTGAATAAGAGATAAAAAGAGAAACACGATATTTTGTACATAAAATCACGTGGTTTTGGGCTCTGTAAGGAATGAAACTACCGAATCTGTAGTTTGACTGTTTCAAAAGTGCCTTTCCAGGTTCAGCAGTGCATTGCTGTTCTAAAAACAAAATCCCATTTTTGTTGTCACCGAAAATGATCGTGGTAATTTAATGTTGATAAAATAGACTTTGTTTTAAATGTTCAAGGCAGATTAACTATAGATATTGTACCTCTATATTGATAATAGGTTAAGGTAGATACTTGATACTCTTTGTTTATTCACGTTTAGATGTAAGTTATAACGAAGTGTAAAGGGTATTTTAAGTATTTGTTAATGTGCAATATTTTACTGTAGCAAATTATTGAGTAGCTGACATTTTTCGCCTTCAATTCCAGGGTAACTTGTGCAAAATAAATGTTTATCTCATTAAAAATAAGTATGTCAGTTGACTAAAGATGGATGTGACAACACAACAGTTACATATGGTTACACCCCTAGTCAATTGACCCACTTTTTATAACGCGAGAATGATAATAATTTAGAAAATTATTAACTTTTGAATTATTAGTAAAGGTGTCCAATACCTACTCAATAATTTAAATTATACAGACTGTGGTACTAATGTTCTGAGTTTTCCGTTTGTTAAAAAACTTATAGAAGACTTATATTTTAAAAAATATTATGCCAAAATTGTAAAGCTATTTCCAAAATGTATGAATTTTGTGAACACAAAAATCATAGATTTTCAATAGTTTTTGCTACCTAGATTGTATTATTCGATGAAAGTGCTTACCTATTCATGCAATATTATTATGCTTTTTAAATATTTTTAAGTATCAAATAATTATTTAAGTTATATTTCAAAAAGTGAAAGTTAGTAGGTATCTCAAAATAATCTCAATAACTTTTTTACTGTGCAATATTATTTGTCAACTAGGAAGTTAAATTATATTTTTAACATCTCATTAATAACTTACAAAATATCCTAGAACATATTATTAGTAATTAGGTAATTCCTTTGTTAAACGAGTTCCGGCGCTCTTTGGAGGAGACCTACGTCCAAATACTTAAACTAGGTGCTTTAATTAAGGATATTATCGAAAATCACAATCTTTTTTATAGCCGTATAGGGGTTTATCTAGGCTACAATTTTAATTAAAATATCCTCTTCTTGTGGTAACTGACTAAGCTGGTAAGAGGGAATGTGCAAAGAAAAAACTGTGCAATTTATTTAATTAGTTACGAACTAATATTAAGTTAAAGTTGTATTTACTCGTCCGCTCTGTAAATATTATTTACCTTTTGTAATAAAAATATATATAAATAAAAAAAGCTTTTTTTTATTTTACAAGGAGTTATAACAATTTTTCATAAGATTCGACAACCCCTAGCTGGTGAATGGTCATGTACAAAACGATGACTGTGGCGCTGCAGGCAGGCCTAAAGGGGAGTGGTGAGAGACCTAGAATACAAATCGGGGCGTTGTAGAGGCTTGAGAGGCGAATTGTAATTTCATCTACTAATAAGACTTAAGGCCAGAGCTCTCGACCTTCAACTACAAATGGGGGCGCAAGATTAGGCAGTAGACAAGTTTGGGAACCCCTGCTTCCGGTTTTGGCCCTCAGTGATCTGAAGTGTTTTAAATTATTTTGTTATAAAATCTTATTTTGTTACCTACATTATAGCAACACTAGCTTTTGCCCGCGGCTTCACCCGCGTGAAATTTCGTTTGTCACAGATCGTCATAAATTATAGCCTTTAAGTTATTCTGGGTTATAAACAATAATACCGTAAAGTTTCATTAAAAATCCGTTCAGTAGTTTTTGCGTGAAATAGTAACAAACATCCAGACATCCAAACTTTAGCATTTATAATATTAGTAGGATTACATACAACATTTCTTAACATTTGAAAGTGTACGCCAAAAAAATTCCATTTGAGTGACCTAATGGACGAGTAGTGCTTCATGCCTGAAATTATCAAACGAAAAATGGAACGTAAAATACCAAACGTAACGTCAAATTGACAGTTTTGACATTCTTCATTTACTGAAAATTCTAACCTCAAAAAAGCAGCAAATTAATTGAAAACAGTTCAATAAAATGTCCAATAACCACTTATTCCTGAAGTCAGGATTTGTCAGGGCTCCGCTACAAAACGGGGTTGGCCGATATGTATGTCAACTGCAGAGAATCGTGCTCAAATTCTGTAAAACTCACGGATCCTGCAGAGGCTTGAGGTAGGTAACCTATTTTGTTACATAAACATCGATATTCTTGTATTAATTATCAGCAAACTACTATCCTAAAGTTATATATCACTGTTTATTACTGCGTTAAATACATAGACAGTAAGAATTACGTGTAAAAAGAAGTAAAATTAAACATTTTTCAGGGATTTTATCGAACAAGATTTAGTCGACTTTGCCAAACAAAACCCAGGTGTAGTTGTGTATCTGAAGCCTAGAAGACACCGTGGCCCTGTGGCCGTGGCCGAATATTGTAAGTTTTAGAATAATTTTCCCATTCATGAACTTTTTTAAATATTTCAAGTGCGTGAAAAAATGAAGCCAAAAACATAAATAAATTCTGAAGTATCTTTTTTGATAGAAATATATGCCATATTTCTCGAATACAAAAATATCAAAATCTTTTCAGTGAACGGAGACCGAGTATGGATGAACTTAGCCAACAAAACTCATTCCGAAATTACAAAATGGATCGAAGTACTCCGTACCCAACAAGGCGATATCGCTTCCACCAGACTTCGGAAATACCAGTACACCGACCATCCTTCCATACAAGGTCCCTGGACTCCCTTCACGTTTAAAAACCCAGAGCTCAACACCGCAGTATTACCAGACCCTAAGTACGGTGCAAATGACAGATTACCGCTGTCCGCCACCGAACAGTTGAGGCTTATGTTTGAGCAGCAGAAGCTGAATGAGGGTGACGTCAAAACTGCTGAATGACATAAAGCTATTTTTATGAGGCAGATTTTTGGTGGGAAATGACTCAAGTAGGTAGTTACACCATAAGTCCTCAACCAGCCAATGGTAATATATTAACATTACTTTGAACATTATTTTATTATTACCTTGAATTAGGCCCAAAAATAATGAAAAATGTGAACTTTCTTGTCTGATTAAGGTTTTAATAACAATTCTATTTGGCTAGAATGTTACTAGATATTCCCAATATGCATTTCATGCCTTTGATTTACAGTTGAAAGCAAATCAAATATTAAATTTTATTGCAAATAGCACCTATATTACCACTGTATAAGATGTATGTAAGCTTGACTTTGTTGTTCGTACAGAAAAACTTGGCCAGTTTTTTCTTAAAATTGTTAAGGATTTAAAATTAAGAAAAAATAGTACACTACTACTGTAAATTGTAGCATTTGTTTGTGAAATTAATATTAGAGAAGAATGGTGTAGTTCACTACAATTACTTAGCTTTAGTTAGATATTTATAAAATAAAACGTTAAATAGTTTAGAATTTAAATGTGTACTTATTTATACCGACCCTTGAAAAATACCAAAAATAATTATTGTTTAACAATACACAGATTAGATTAGAGTCACAGGATTTTAAAAATTCAAAGAAAGAGAAGACAATAGTAAAACATTTATTTATGCGGTTAACGAGTCTTAGAAGTAATTAACAAAAACTGCTATTCTAATAACAAATACTTGCTTCAAATATTAATACTTGACAAGATTAACATAAACTAAGAAAAAAGATAGTTTGTGGCAGTCGATCCTTGCCACCGTTATAAATGTAAATAATATTTTTAATGAGCAATTTAAAAAGTAATTGCCCAGAAATTATCCATACATGCTGATGGAGTAATATGAGAAAACGTTTTTGTATAAGAGCACTTCACAATTTTGGTTTCAAATAATATTGAAAATAAAAACGATCCACCAATCTCATCTCCTTGCATGTTTGGAATTTTTCATGTGTATTTTCAAATATCTCGGCGACCGAAACTTCTTTCCGCAGTGACATTTGTGCTCTTTGCCATCGTTGTAATGTACTCTGTTCATATGAATCAGCAAATACGACCTACTTTTCAACACAGACTGGCAGATTTCACATTGAGCTTTCTCACTGTGACAGTTTCTCATGTGCGTTGATAATGCATATTTACTCTTCAGTATAGCAGGACATAAGGTACATTTTACTTCGACTCCTTCTATTTGCCGACTGCCTTTGAATTTCTTGTTCATATGTATACTGTAGATGTGCTTACGTGCGTACCTCGCACATTTGAACACAGCAGAGCAAACGCTGCACTCGTATTCCTCCGTACCATGAACCTCTTTCATGTGGGAATGCCAAGTTTTGTACGTTTGGATTTTGCCACATATTTTACACTCATGCAGTTCTTTCGTTACCAGTGACTTCTTTCTTTTAATTGGGACGTTATTATTATCTTTCTGAATTATTGTTCCCAATGGTTCAATTAGGAGTCTTAAATGTTTCAAATTGTGCCGCAGTAGTGAATACCTGAAAAAGAAATTTTACACAAAATTTCGTTACAAATTTTTTTGATTACAAATTACAATTCGTTAAATTACATTATTACTTTTTTTGACTCAACATTTAAAGCAGAATTATTCACAATGAGTACAGAATAAATTATAACAAGAGAAGAACAAAACAATCTTGTATTTTATTTTGATTAAAATGAGTCCAGAGGAGCTTAACAAGGTAAGTAACACTGGACACTACACATCTTAAATTATATAGCTTGCCCTACCACCACTCTGACACAAGATATTGGCTGGTGCAGAGGAAGTGGCGGAAGAAACTAAGTCAGCTTTGTCAGCTTCTCAACTAAGTTTTAAAAACTTTATTAGTACTAACCTTTCACAAAACTCCTCATTACAAATTGCACACGTAACCCGTGTGTACTGTATCAAATCTTCATACTCAACGCCATCGAATTCTACCTCCTCAGACTCAAAAACCTCAGTGTTTTCATCACCTATAAATTCAGTTTTAACTTCATATTCTCTGATTTGAGAGCTTTCCACTTCAACTTTTACTGTAACTTCGAAGTCTGGGCTCAAATAATCTGCAGGGTTATGCTCCAAGTCCTCTTTTTCCTGCTTTATTACCATTTCTGAAGGCAGCACCATTTTTTTTGCAATTTGTTTTTTGTTTACAGGTCATGTATTCACTGATTACTAGACACGTTATCTATTTTTATGTAACAGAGTCGATATTGAAAAATAGCACGTGTTTTGGTAAAAATGTGCAGTCGTATGAAGTAACAAAAATATTTTGCTGAATAGAAATCAGTCACAAACAAAAAATAGACGTCGCCCACAGATATAGATGACCCACGCTGAACTGTCCCGCCAAACTCAATGACAGGGGGGCGCTACCATCGTTCAACTATATGGTTTCCAACATGGCAAAAATCGGAACCAGCGATCCGGTCACAGATATGGATAGATGCAGCATGTGTCAAAAATTGTATGAAGCCGAGCGTGCCACTTTTTAAACGTCATTAGTGTCATTTTAGCGAATTTTAGTGATTGCCGCAACGTAAAAGTAATCGTATCATCGTACTGCATTCGCAAAGTCATCGAAACATATCGTGTGACTCGATTCGAAAATTAATTAATTCCGATAAAACTGATAATTTGTTAAATACAAAACCAAAAACATCTTTATTTACCTTTTTAAAATAAAGTAATTCTTACAATTCGTCAAATCTTGTTATTTTTTTTACCCTACCAGCGTTTCAAGACATAAATTTGTCAAGTGAATGAATACATGGATCAGTGTGTGTCTTATTGTTATGAGTAAGTACGGTTCCTTGGGATCGGTATGAGTGCACTACATACAGGGACCATCGTTTTAACTCTTAAGAGTACATCGCAGGATATGTTTTAAAAACAATGCTACTTTATACTTCTTCTACTGCTAATTAATTATTTGCTACTTGTGCTGTTAGTTACAATTCTCAATCCGTAAATAAAATCTTCATTCTACCGTGTTCGTACTACTGTTCTCGTAAAATCATCGTAACCGATTGTTGTAATCGGATTACATGAACATCACTCGACCATGTATGTCCATTTGGACATATCGGAATGGCACGCTTTGACGATCAACTTGCTGTATCTACTCTAATCCATATCTGTGGATCCGGTATTGACGGTGGCGCCCACAGATATGGATAGATGCAGCATGTGTCAAAAATTGTATGAAGCCGAGCGTGCCACTTTTTAAACGTCATTAGTGTCATTTTAGCGAATTTTAGTGATTGCCGCAACGTAAAAGTAATCGTATCATCGTACTGCATTTGCAAAGTCATCGAATGATATCGTGCGCCTCGATTCGAAAATTAATTAATTCCGATAAAACTGATAATTTGTTAAATACAAAACCAAAAACATCTTTATTTACCATTTTAAAATATATTCATTCTTACAAATCGTCAAATCTCGTTATTTTTTTTACCCTACCAGCGTTTCAAAACATAAATTTGTCAAGTGCATGAATACATGCATCAGTGTGTGTCTTATTGTTATGAGTAAGTACGGTTCCTTGGGATCGGTATGAGTGCACCACATACAGGGACCATGGTTTTAACTCTTAAGAGTACATCGCAGGATATGTATTAAAAACAATGCTACTTTATACTTCTTCTACTGCTACTTTATTCTAATTAATTATTTGTTACTTGTGCTGTTAATTACAATTCTCAATCCGTAAATAATTTCTTCTTTCTACCGTGTTCGTACTACTGTCCTCGTAAAATCATCGTAACCGATTGTTGTAATCGGATTACATGAACATCACTCGACCATGTATGTCCATTTGGACATATCGGAATGGCACGCTTTGACGATCAACTTGCTGTATCTACTCTAATCCATATCTGTGGATCCGGTATTGACGGTGGCGCCCACAGATATGGATAGATGCAGCATGTGTCAAAAATTGTATGAAGCCGAGCGTGCCACTTTTTAAACGTCATTAGTGTCATTTTAGCGAATTTTAGTGATTGCCGCAACGTAAAAGTAATCGTATCATCGTACTGCATTTGCAAAGTCATCGAATGATATCGTGCGCCTCGATTCGAAAATTAATTAATTCCGATAAAACTGATAATTTGTTAAATACAAAACCAAAAACATCTTTATTTACCATTTTAAAATATATTCATTCTTACAAATCGTCAAATCTCGTTATTTTTTTTACCCTACCAGCGTTTCAAAACATAAATTTGTCAAGTGCATGAATACATGCATCAGTGTGTGTCTTATTGTTATGAGTAAGTACGGTTCCTTGGGATCGGTATGAGTGCACCACATACAGGGACCATGGTTTTAACTCTTAAGAGTACATCGCAGGATATGTATTAAAAACAATGCTACTTTATACTTCTTCTACTGCTACTTTATTCTAATTAATTATTTGTTACTTGTGCTGTTAATTACAATTCTCAATCCGTAAATAATTTCTTCTTTCTACCGTGTTCGTACTACTGTCCTCGTAAAATCATCGTAACCGATTGTTGTAATCGGATTACTTGAACATCACTCGACCATGTATGTCCATTTGGACATATCGGAATGGCACGCTTTGACGATCAACTTGCTGTATCTACTCTAATCCATATCTGTGGTGGCGCCCCACTGTCAATGTCATGCATAGGACAGTTCTGAGCCCCGATTACGGTAACTTTTAACGTCTACAATCCAGACGCGTTTCTGATGCGTTTCTGATTCTGCAATACGATTGGTCAAAACAGCTGACGTGCGCTGTTGAACGACCAATCGTATCGCAGAATCGAGAAGCGTGTCTGGATTGTTGACGTTAAAAATTACCGTAATCGGGGCTCAGTATTTTGGAACTATATGGATTAGAGACGTCGCCAAATTAAACGTCAAATCTGACAACGCGAACAGCTGTCTGTAAATCTGTCATTCATTTTTTTTTTATTGGCATCCGCGGTGTTTGGCCTGTACGTTCGCGCATATCTGTGGTTCGCGCCCACGCGCCCACAGATATGTATTTGGCGCCCGTGCGCTTCGATTTGGTATCGGCCGATTCTTCATACAAATTAAAATCGGGCCCAACTATCGGCCGACTAAAAGTCGGTGGTTTACGCCTAACGCCTAGGCTTAGGGTCTTACATAGCAAAATTAATTTAGGCAAATGTGAAAAGCCAGTGGAATTCAGTTCAAATGAAATGGTTAAAGACCGCGCCATAGCAGAATATTTTACTATGAAGAAACAGTGTGTAAAAGAGACGATTAACGAAATTATGATTAGAAAATGAAAAACTTAGGCTAGATTAAAAGTATAAAAAATAAAACAAAATTTTAATGAAACAAGTGCTTTTTAGATTTTATTAGTTAAGTACCTACCTACTAAATATTATTGTTTGTGTTGTGTGTTTGATGCAACTTATGTATGTTCTGTTACGTCATAATATTATGTCAATGTCACCCCTCTCGTGCCGCTACCATACCTCAGGCACTCACTGAGTTAAGCGCTAGAACTATACAAACATGTGATATTCGTCAGATAAACTATCTGCTACTTATCAGGTGCCGACGAAACAAATAAAACACAGAAAGGACTTAAAATAAAATTTATTTCATAGGAAAAATATATTTACATACCTATTTGACTTACATGCTACGAGTACAATAAGATTTTAATAAGAAAATGTACAATAAAACTTAGTATTACGTTACTGACAGTTTTTTTTTATAATATGCATAGAACCATTAATTTTACAGTGCCTATAGCAGGGGTGGCCAACCGGTCGATCGCGACTATTAGTCCAGTCGATGGTGGCAAGGCAAAAAATACTACATGATTGTGTACTAAACTATGCTGTTTCATTTAGATTTCAAGAAGTATGTAAGTGGTAGATCGCCCAGGGTTTCGTTAGTAAACAGTAGATCTTTATGTGTAATCAAGTTGGCCACCCCTGGCTAATAGGAACTGGCAATTTAGAAAATCCTCCACGCAGATCTTACTGATATTATAAATGCGAAAGTTTGGATGTCTGGATGTTTGTTACTCTTTCACGCAAAAACTACTGAACGGATTTTGATGAAACTTTACAGTATTATTGTTTATAACCCAGAATAACATACAAGCTATAATTTATGACGATCTGTGACAGACTAAATTTCACGCGAATGAAGCCGCGGGCAAAAGCTAGTAGGTAATAAAACTGTTAATCAACATAAAAGTACGCACATTATCGCAATTTGGTACAATAATCATCTGTAAATCTGCTCTTACAAAAGACTGGCGGAAATTGGCGTCTTTTTTTTTTTGTTTGGTCGATGGCCGCGCGAATAAAAAAATACGCCACCTTCCATACAAAATCTGGCATTGCCATTTGAAGCCAACCAAAATGCGGAGACTTATGCCTGTTTTCACCATCAATCCCTAATTTTTAAGTGACCCCTATGAAAACAAAATTCCTATTATGTGTTACCACAGGGTTCACTTAAAAAATAGGATTGATGGTGAAAACGGGCATTAAATTGCTAGTTCAGTACCATCAATATGTCCTACCATTATCCTACTACTACATCAAATTATATTCTTATAGCCGTTCAGCGTCAAATAGTTCGTGGCACCCAAATTGGCCAAAAAATTGACAACACAACCTTATTCCAATGAGGGTTTTCGCGATTAAAAAATCCGCCAGATGGCAATACGTAGACGCGAGGTCCTGTATCTGTCAATGTCATGTCAAAAATAACCAATCATGCAGCATTTGGACCTCGCGTCTACGTATTGCCATCTGGCGGATTTTTCAATCGCGAAAACCCTCATTGTAACAAAGACGTGTTGCGAACTTTTTGGCTACTTTAGGTGTCTCGGACTATTTGACGCTGACTGTAAACCTCTACACAGGGGGGCTACTCCGAGACGTTGTTTACGTAGTTTCGGGTCTATCTGTCACCGTCACTCATGCTGACACCTCGCTTGGTGTGAGAGGGATGGCAACATTCGAAACTTCGGATAACGTTTTTCGGAGTAGCCCCACAGGCACGGATCTAGGGAGGGGAAAAAATGTTGCCCCGGTTATAAAAATCATAGATCCGTGGCTGCACCTACAAAATTGCAAACATCGTCAATTTATTTGAATCTTATACTAAAGAAGTAATACATTTCAAAATCAATCGAAGAAATTTATTTTAGTTTAAAGTGACTTGATATTAGTATTGATAAAGGCTAATTTTTGTACATTAGTTCACAATGTTACAATTGAAAAACGATTTAATTAGCAGTCTTCAATGTTTAAAATCAAGAGACAGTGGAGTGCTTATGATTATATTTTATTCATTTGACTATAAGGGCCCATGTACACTGTGTGTTTTATTAGCCGACGTGCGTTTTTTCGAAACCTAGGCTAGTGCTCGCATGAGTTTATGAGACATTAGTCTAGCTCGCAGTGCGTCCACCAGCCAAGTCTAGCTTGGGTTGCGCTCCTAGCCTAGCTCAAGGTGCGCTTCTAGCTTAGTTTTACAACGCGCCCCTAGCCTAGCGGGCAGTGCGCTCCTAGCCTAGCTTTAAGTGCGCTCCTAGCCTAGCAGGCAGTGCGCTCCTAGCCTAGCAGGCAGTGCGTTCCTAGCCTAGCAGGCAGTGCGCTCCTAGCCTAGCAGGCAGTGCGCTCCTAGCCGAGCTGGTAGTGCGATGAGCTTGCTCAAGGCACTAGCCTAGCTCACCTAAGACACTAGACTACCTCGCTAAAGACACTAGCCTAGCCCGCGCTCCCTTTAGACACTAGCCTGCCTGGCTATACACACGCGCAGGCGGTCGGTGGCGGTAAGTGCCACTTGTGGTCTAAACTGAATAAATATTTTTGATTTTGATTGATTTTTTTTTGACACTAGCCTAGCTCGCTGTAGACACTAGCCGCGCTCCCTTAAGACACTAGGCTAGCTGGCACTCCCTTAAGACAGAAGCCAACTCCCTTTAGACACTAGCTTAGCTCGCTGCGCGCTCCTACCATAGCCAGCTCGGTCAGTGCGCGTCGAGCTGGGCGAGCGCGCGCGAGGCAGCGCGCAGGCGGTCAGCTGACATAACACATAAGACAAAAGCCTAGCCCGCGCTCCCTTAAGACACTGGCCTAGCTGGCGCTCCGTTAAGACACTAGCCTAGCTCGCTGTAGACTAGCCTGGCTCCCACAAGACACTAGGCTGCCTAGCTCGCGTTCCCTTAAGACACTAGCCAAGTTCGCGCTCCTAGCCAACCCCGCTAGCCCGCTCAGTGCGCGCGCAGCACGTCGTCAAGCTCGGCGAGCGAGCGCGAGGCGGCGTTCAGGCGGTCAGCTGACTTAAGACATTAGCCTAACTCCCTTAAGACACTAGCCTAGCTCCCTTAACACACTAGCCTGGCTCGCTGTAGACACTAGCTTAGCTCGCTGCGCGCTCCTACCACAGCCAGCTCGGTCAGTGCGCGCGCAGTACGTCGTCGAGCTCGGCGAGCGCGCGCGTGGCGGCCCGCAGGCACGAGGCGTGCGCGCGGCCGCCGGCGCTGAGAGACGCGAGGCTCTGGCGCAGCGAGCGGAGCCGGAAGCCGACGTGTGAGACACTAGCCTAGCTGGCGCTCCATTAAGACACTAGGCTAGCTCGCGCTCGTTAAGACACTAGCCTTCCTCGCTGTAGACATTAGTCTGGCTCACGCTCTCTTAAAGTTAGGAGTCCTAAGACACTAGCCTAGCTAACGCTCCCTTTAAACACTAGCCCGCGCTCGCTTAAGTAAGACACTAGCCTACCTTCCTTAAGACATTAGCTCGCGTTCCCTTAAGACACTAGCTTAGCTGGCGCTTCCTTAAGACACTAGCCCGCGCTCCCTTAAGACACTAGTCTAGCTCGCTGAAGGCACTAGCCTAGCTGGCGCTCCCTTTAGACACCAGCCTAGTGTTCGCTTTCTTCAAACACTAGCCTGACTCCCTTAAGACACTAGCCTAGCCCGCGCTCCTTCCAGACCCTAGCCTACCTCTCCTAGCCTAGCTCGCGTCTCAGTGCGCGCGCAGCACGTCGTCGAGCTCGGCGAACGCGCGCGAGGCAGCCCGCAGGCGCGAGGCGTGCGCGCGGCCGCCGGCGCTGAGAGACGCGAGGCTCTGGCTAAGCTAGCTCGCGTTCCTTTAAGACACTAGCCTAGCTCGTTGAAGACACTAGCCTATCCCGCGCTTCCTTTAGACACTAGCCTAGCTTCCTTAAGACACTACTCTAGCCCGCACTCCCTTAAGACACTAGCCTAGCTCGCGCTTCCTTCAGACGTTAACCTAGTTCGCGCTCCGTTAAGACTCTAGCCTAGCTCTCTTAGACACTATCCTAGCTCGCTGTCGACACTAGCCTAGCTCGCGGTGCTCTCCTACCAAAGCCCAGCCAGTCAGTGCGCGCGAAGCACGTCGTCGAGCTCGGCGAGCGCGCGCGAGGCGGCGCGCAGGCGGTCGGCTGACTTAAGAGACTAGCCTGCCTCCCATTAGACACTAGCCTACCTTCCTTAAGACATTAGCTCGCGTTCCCTTAAGACACTAGCCTAGCTGGCGCTCTCTTAAGACACTAGCCTAGCTTCCTTAAGACACTAGCCTAGCTTCCTTAAGACACTAGCCTGCGCTCCCTTAAGACACAAGCCTAGCTCCCTTTAGATACTAGCCTTACTCGCTGTAGACACTAGCCTGGCTCGCGCTCCTAGTGCGCGCGCAGCACGTCGTCGAGCTCGGCGAGCGCGCGCGAGGCGGCCCGCAGGCGCGAGGCGTGCGCGCGGCCGCCGGCGCTGAGAGACGCGAGGCTCTGGCGGAGCGAGCGGAGCCGGGAGCCGACGCATGAGACACAAGCCTAGCTGGGGCTCCCTTAAGACACTAGGCTAGCTGGCGTTCCTTTAAGACACTAGCCTAGCCCGCGCTCCCTTTAGACACTAGCTTAGCTCCCTTAAGACACTAGCCTAGCTCCCTTAAGACACTAGCCTAGCTCCCTTAAGACACTAGCCTAGCTCCCTTAAGACACTAGTCTAGCTCGCTGAAGGCACTAGCCTAGCTGGCGCTCCCTTTAGACACCAGCCTAGTGTTCGCTCTCTTCAAACACTAGCCTGACTTCCTTAAGACACTAGCCTAGCCCGCGCTCCCTCCAGACACTAGCCTAGCTCTCCTAGCCTAGCTCGCGTCTCAGTGCGCGCGCAGCACGTCGTCGAGCTCGGCGAGCGCGCGCGAGGCGGCCCGCAGGCGCGAGGCGTGCGCGCGGCCGCCGGCGCTGAGGGACGCGAGGCTCTGGCGGAGCGAGTGGAGCCGGGAGCCGACGCGTTTCTTCTCGCCGGAGAGCAGCTCGTGGGCTCTAGAACCTGGTTATAGAAAGAAACAAATCAAAGAAAGAAAGAAACATTTATTACGATGAACAAAGACAAAGGACAAAGAAGGTATACGGAAAAAAAGACAGAAATAGCACAAATATTACAAGGAAATAGAAAGTGAACTGAGCAGTGCTACCCTGTCGCAACAGCAATGCTCATCGCAACGAGACTCCACTCAGCATAATCCGTGGCCCACGTTGGAGAAGGTCACGACGCTGGTTTTCAGTGCGCCCCATGCCGAGTGTCAAATTAAATCAAGTTTATTAATCTCATAAAACTCATTTATTTTTTGCAAAAAAAGCACTTTTACACGTCCCAGTATTAACCCCACCACTGCTTCGGAACAATAAATGGGGCCAGTGCTGAGAAGAAGTAGCGCAAGAAATTCAGTCACTATTCAGTACATAGGCCCTTTCCAGGGCACTTATACGCGTCCAAAATATTGTTTGCCCTACCAGCACTTCAGGACAACATATTACGGGCTGGCATTTCATTATTATAAATGTTTTAACAAGGCCCAAATCATATTAATGTATAAGGTCGCGCAGCAAGAGTTGCGACAATTAACACAAGCAAAGATTCTAGATAGAGATAAGAAGTCTGACTGACAAGTGGTTTATGTCTCGCTGGCACATTTAGATAGATACCACCACGTTGCCGTGCCACGCGTGACAGTTGGGAAAAAATGATTCAATCACGAAAAAATTCAATAAAATCGAAATAAGTTTTCTACAACTCACCTAATAAAGGCAGGTAGTCTCCCGCCCGCTCTGCGCGGATGTCAAGGGTGAACCATTCGTCCATGTCGTCGGAATCAGATGTCGGTAGTTCCTGGAAATAAACGTATATTTTAACATGATATTTTTTACAATTTATAGTATTAATGTTTCGTTCTGAATGCATTTTCCTATGTCAACACTATGCCAAAAATCCAACAAAAGGGAATTATTGAATTTATGCCCAGAAATCCCCATAAATATTATCCCCGTATTTGACATCAGAAACGAATTAATGTAAAATTTTTAAGCTGTAAAAAAGTGATTATTTTTGAAACTTCTTTCTTTCTAGGGCTAGGCTAGGAACGCGAGCTAGAAGCGACAGCTAGGCTAGGAACGCACTGCCCGCTAGGCTAGGAGCGCATCCCGAGCTAGACTAGGCTAGAGCCGTGGACGGTTATGGTGGGCTAGGCTAGGAGTTTTTTCTTCTTTTTTATTTAGTGTGCGGTGCGTGTGCACTTATGGATGATTTAGCGTGTACCGATAACACTCAAACATTAGCGGAAGAATGGTGGGGCGCGTCTTCGTGGATGAAACGACGATCTATATGTTTTCTTTTTTTTTTTTGGTTGTTTAAATTTTACATTTTACCAATTTTCATTGAGAGATTTTGCGTGTTATTTATATTATTAGTTTATATCAACCTCCACTTACATCGTAAAGGCTGCCGTCTTCGGACTGGCTCTCGATGTCAGATAACATCTCTTCGTCCATCTGCTCCGGCTTCATGATTCGTTGCTTGATCTTGCGCTTCTCTAACTCCGAGTCGGACTCCATGGCGAAATCCTGGGAAAGAGTTTTATTTGTTTATTTATTGAAATAATAAATCTTTTTTTTTGGACACTGAAACAGACAATGGTTCGAGAAAAAGTGTAAAATGGAATGGTCGTGCAAGCAGCACGGCACGGACGTAATGTGCAGCGCCATCTATGATTATTTCTGTGAATTAGTTCGGTACTCCTGTTAGTTCGGTAAAGGTGATAAGAATCATAGATGGCGCTTTACAAACATTCTATAGATGGCGCTAAATATGTATGGGTTTGGAACAAGAGTTCTACATTTTTTTTTTTCAGATGACACTAGCGAAGATCCGGACATTTTAGGGCCCTATTACATTGCGACTTTTTGAAGCGATACCAGGCCTGTTCATCTCCGCGAGTTTACATCGAAAACAAAACACGTACGATGGCCCCCTACAGATACTATTCNTTGACTTTGAATCCGATTATAAGACTAGAATAGAATACGATTTAAATACTGTAAACCCTTGAAAATGAGGCTGACAATAATTGTCACTGAGTTTATTTTATTTATTACGGTATACCAACAACATTACATACAAAGTAATTACATGAAAATCTTACATATAGAAGTTTAGTGTGTATGCACCTTCTCAGCACCAGCCATATGTTGTCCCGAAGTGGTGGTAGGGCAAGCTATATTTGGGACGCGTATAAGTGCCCTGGAAAGGGCCTATGTACTGTATAAAATACAATAGAATACAATTAAATAATAAATCTTTGGACAATTTCACACAACGCCAGCTAGCCCCAAAGTAAGCAACTTAATGCTTGTGTTATGGGTTCTAGCTTAACGGATATACTACTTATATACTTTTTTTTTAAATACATAAATATTATACATAGTCACACCCAAACCCGTTACAGAAATTAAAATTCATCATTTCAATTTCTGCCCGGCCGGGAATCGAACCCGGGACCTCTCGGCATAGTAGTCCGTTCTGAACCAGTACACCAAACGGCCGACAAAACACAATTATTATAACGACGCTCAAGGGACCGATGATATTACATGGTACTATCCAGACGTCGTACTAAAGAAGTCTCAACAAAACAACANTGCCCGCTAGGCTAGGAGCGCATCCCGAGCTAGACTAGGCTAGAGCCGTGGACGGTTATGGTGGGCTAGGCTAGGAGTTTTTTCTTCTTTTTTATTTAGTGTGCGGTGCGTGTGCACTTATGGATGATTTAGCGTGTACCGATAACACTCAAACATTAGCGGAAGAATGGTGGGGCGCGTCTTCGTGGATGAAACGACGATCTATATGTTTTCTTTTTTTTTTTTGGTTGTTTAAATTTTACATTTTACCAATTTTCATTGAGAGATTTTGCGTGTTATTTATATTATTAGTTTATATCAACCTCCACTTACATCGTAAAGGCTGCCGTCTTCGGACTGGCTCTCGATGTCAGATAACATCTCTTCGTCCATCTGCTCCGGCTTCATGATTCGTTGCTTGATCTTGCGCTTCTCTAACTCCGAGTCGGACTCCATGGCGAAATCCTGGGAAAGAGTTTTATTTGTTTATTTATTGAAATAATAAATCTTTTTTTTTGGACACTGAAACAGACAATGGTTCGAGAAAAAGTGTAAAATGGAATGGTCGTGCAAGCAGCACGGCACGGACGTAATGTGCAGCGCCATCTATGATTATTTCTGTGAATTAGTTCGGTACTCCTGTTAGTTCGGTAAAGGTGATAAGAATCATAGATGGCGCTTTACAAACATTCTATAGATGGCGCTAAATATGTATGGGTTTGGAACAAGAGTTCTACATTTTTTTTTTTCAGATGACACTAGCGAAGATCCGGACATTTTAGGGCCCTATTACATTGCGACTTTTTGAAGCGATACCAGGCCTGTTCATCTCCGCGAGTTTACATCGAAAACAAAACACGTACGATGGCCCCCTACAGATACTATTCGACAAGGCCTCACATACGAGCGAGCATTGACTCACGCACGCGTATTCTTGTGTATGATGGAAAAAAATAAAGAAAATGGTGTACACTAAATACTGTGCAGTATTTAACTGCCTGAATAATAATAAAAACACAGAATGTACTTTTTTAAGTTGCCTGAAGACACTGAGAGGTAAATAAGTAGTTAATATTATTCATGATAATTCATGCTAAATCATGTATTTCCTCCGCCATTTTCCGCAGTTTGACACCTCACGTCACATCATTTTACCGAAGTCAGCCCTATAGCTTCGGCGCAGTGCCGATCACTGACGTTTGTCAACAAAATGGTGCTTGACTCTTGAGACAGGCTAAATTACACCATATTGTTAATGACATTGAGCATATTTTTTTTAAACATTCGCGAAGTAAAACTTCTGTACTTATTATTATTCTGTGGTATGGGTTTGGAACAAGAACTCTTGTTCCATTTTTTTTTTCAGATGACACTAGCGAAGATCCGGACATTTTAGGGCCCTATTACATTGCGACTTTTTGAAGCGATACTAATGCGATGCAGCATAGATACAGTCGCAAAACATCTATATTTACACACACGCGTTACTATACCTACGAGCAAAAGTATGGAATCACTCTGTTGTTTGGTTTCGAGCGATGTTAAGAACTGAATAACTATATTATGTATCAAATTAGAAACCGACTAAATTATCGCCCTATAATAAATCTATGAGGTATTTACCTACTTAGCATGCTATATAATTTTCTTTATGGAATATAAAATGATGGGTACATACTTCTTCCAAGTCGAATTCATCTTCTTCCAAAAACTCTTCCTCGTTTATTATTTCTTCATGCTCTATTTTTGGTTTTCTCATCTGAAAGAAGGATATTTTTTATCACAACAGGAGTTTTGTAAAAAATTTGAAAATCCAAAAAAACCCTATGAGGGGACTAGCGGCCGCCCGCGACTTCGTTCGCGTGGATCCCGTTTTATCCCCTTAGGGGTGGAGTTTCGTAAAATCCTTTCTTAGCGGATGCCTACGTCATAACATCTACCTGCATGCCAAATTTCAGCCCGATCCGTCCAGTGGTTTGGGCTGTGCGTTGATAGATCACTATGTCAGTCAGTCAGTCACCTTTGATATATTTAGATGGTAAACGCGAACATCAGGCCTCAACGAGGAGTGTTGTGTGTGATACGTGTTTGTCCGCGATTGCCTCGCGTTTGGCTAAACCGATTTTAATGCGGTTTTCATTGACTTTTGACTTTGAATAGTGCACAATAAAGTTTTAATCTAAATATACAGGGTGTTAGGTAAATGGGTATATGAGCCGACACTAGCCCATGTTAACATGGTCATATAAATGGTATGGTGAAGTCAGAAATTTGATATCATCATTTTAAATTTTTTAATATTCATACAAAATAAATTTTATAAAATCCGATTTGTATGAAAATTAAAATAATTAAAATGAAGATATCAATTTTCTGACTTCACCATACCATTTATATGACCATGTTAACATGGGCTAGTGTCGGCTCATAATTATACCCATTTACCTAACACCCTGTATATAACTCAAAGGTGACTGACTGACTGACATAGTGATCTATCAACGCACAGCCCAAACCACTGGACGGATCGGGCTGAAATTTGGCATGCAGGTAGATGTTATGACGTAGGCATCCGCTAAGAAAGGATTTTACGAAACTCCACCCCTAAGGGGGTAAAACAGGATCCACGTGTACGAAGTCGCGGGCGACCGCTTGTTTAAAAAAAAAATCTTTATTTGTTTAGACTAATATAAATTAGTTCTTGCAAATCGTCGTTTAGTGATAAAACCTGTATATGTACGCTTAGTGTGCAAATAATAAATACTAGTCTCACCTCAGACTTGACTTTCTCCACAGCTGACCTGTCCACAACTTTGACTATGGACTTCTGTGGATTCTTCAGGAGCGACTTGGAATCCGGGCGAGGAGTGGAGGTAGCAGCTTGGCGCTTTTCCATGGCTACAACAAATAGTAAGAAATGTACATGAAGCATCTTGTGCTGTTGTAATAGGGGCGAGATTGCAACGAAAATTGTGTATGCTGATCTGCTGTCGATTGTACATTTTTATTGAAAAATAGCGAATATTACAACCACATTTATAATTCTTCACTGGTTGGGTTATTGGCGGTCAAGCTGTATATCCTGGCTACACAGGAGTTGCAGCGGTGGGAACGAGAGGTGGGAATAGTCCCGTAACCACATACAGCTGGACAACACTGAAGTGTCCCAGCTATGACATTGACAAGAGGCCGCTACTATCAATATACTGACCCACGCTGAACTGTCCTGCCAAACTCAATGACAGGGGGGCGCTACCATCGTTCAACTATATGGTTTCCAACATGGCAAAATCGGAACCAGTGATCCGGTATTGACGGTGGCGCCCCGCTGTCAATGTCATTGATAGGACAGTTCAGTATTTTGGAACTATACTTGGATAATAATTCCGATTTCAGTCACTTCGATGTTTCAGCAGAGCTACTCCGAAAAGTTGCTTAAGTTTCGAGTCTATCTGACAACTTCGCTCATGCTGCATTTCGCTTCGCGTGAGAGGGATGGCAACATTCGAAACTTCGGATTACGTTTTTTGGAGTAGCTATCGTCACACTTGCATCAGTGATTAAACTAATGTGTAATTTTTCACAATCTATGTATAGTAGTCGTCATCCTGCTAATATTATAAAGGTGAAAGTTTGTGTGGATGTTTGTTACTCTTTCACGCAAAAACTACTGAATGGATTTGGTTGAAACTTTACAGTATTATTATTTGTAATCCAGATTAACATAAAGGCTATAATTTATGCGAATCTGTGGCACTAAATTTCACGCGGGTGAAGCCGCGGGCAAAAGCTAGTATAAGAATAAATAATAAGAAGATTTTAAACCTGAGGTGGAATTGTGTAAAGCAATCGTAATCATTTGACAGTTCATAACGTACGATAAAGTCAGTTAAAAAAAGCGTTTGACAGAATAATCGTACGTTATGAACTGACAAATGATTAC